CCACCAGAGCCACCTCCTTAAAGCCAAGACCCTGAATATTCTCTTGCACCTCCCACCACCACAGCCACTCTCAACCCTCAGCTCTTACAACTGCAGAATGTAGCCCCAGGCAAAACAGCCTCCAAGGGAATCTGGTTCTGAATGCATGCATCGGTCTCCAAATAATCTTGTTAAATGCAGGTACTCTCCACCTCCAAGAGCTGGTCTTTTCCATCATTACTTCAGAGAAATCTCTTCCTTGAAAAAAAAAAAAAAAGAAGAAGAAGAAGAATATTATGTTTTGGGGGAATTCTATTTGGGGGCTGGATAATGGTCTGGGGACAAAAGTCAGTAAGATGATCTGATGAGAATATTTTGTTGTCATTGTGGGAACTGAATGAGGGCATTGGTATCCTTGATTCCTTTACCATGAACATGGCCATGATAGTGCACATTGGGCTGTGAAGCAAGATGACAAATGGGATAGCATGTGGAAGGTAATGGAGGTGGTGAAATGTGCCCTGGACTGAATCCTTGATCCCCTTGTACCGTGTTAGCTAGATTCATAGCAGCATCACACACTGCCTACCAGAGCCATGCCACTTATACAACTGTACCAGCGTGCAATGTGCCGGTTATTAAAATATTAAAATACTTCCCTTACTGGTAGATAAATGGTCACTTCCAAAGGCTCCCTCTCCAACCCCTCCAGTGTTCTTTCGGTTGTTTGATATTTTGAATGCCGCACTTCCACCTGATTGAGCAGGCATTGTTACCCCATTCCAGAGCTGGGAAAACTGAGCTTCAGAAAGGCTACAAAGTGATGTGTCATGGTTCATCTATTGGGTTAATAATAGAACTAAGACCATAAAATCCACTGGATCCAAACCAGCTTCTCCATTCCATGGCCGAGGAGACCCAGAGGGTCTGAGGGACTTGCCCAAGGCCATGTGATTGGTTGGCAGAAGTTCTGTCCCAGAACATCTAGAACATGCAGCTGTAGTATGTCACCTTCCAAAAGAGGGAACTGCTGTTAGAAAGCAATCGATGGACCCAGGGCCTCTCTACCTGTCCCCCTGTGTTTGGGGCACTTAGAAGCTGTTGAAGTTGTCAGGCTCTGAATCCTAGAAGGGATGGGAAGAGCTGGACAGTGGGAGCTGATGGGGTGTCTATGGAAAAGCACAGAGGTAGTATCAGGGGAGATGAAGCCTTTGGAAGTGATGTAGGAAAAGGGAGTAGATGAGGGACAAGATGTGACCTGGGTTCAGCAGGCAGTAGATGAGGAAAGAACACACATTTGTTGAATGTTTGCTCCCTGTGTGTCAAACACTTTATATGTGGTAGTTCATGGAACACCTCCCCTCACCCCCAAAAGCCCTTTGGAGGAGGAACTTTTAATCCCCACTTGGAGTTAAGCCAAGCAATGACTATAGAGTCCTTGCAAGACTCTGAAGTTAGCAGAAGGAAGATAGCCTTGCATTCAGAGATCAGTGACTCCCCAACCAGGCTCTTCCGGTTAAGGACTCTCAGAGGTGATTGTTTGAGCCCCAGGCGGAGGTGCTGGGAAGTGAGGTCTTCAGACACAGTCACAGAGAAACAGGGAGCTTTCTCTGCACCTTCCCATGAGCAAGAGGTGGTTTTGTACCTGGGATCTCAGTGTGAGGCAGGTCAGGATCTGAGGGCCTGGGGTGGGAGGAAAGGGCAGTGTGGTGGCAATGGTCCCTTCATGCCTTGCTGCCTAGGGAAAAGTTGCCATTTTACATTTCAATTAGGAAGGACACCAGGGTCAATCGGCAGTGCCACCAGAGGAAAATGGGCCCGGCCCAGCCCTGGGCCTCTCCAATTATTATTAATGAACTTACTCTCAGACCTGCCAACCTTTTTATATGCAAACTAGGTCTTTGTGTGGCCACTGGCAATCAGGACTCATTAAAGAACGTGTGCCAAGCCTCAGAGAGACTCATACAGGGGCTTATGCTTCTACCCACATCCTGGACTAGAAACAGCCCAGCTGGAGGCCAAGTCCCAGCCCCCACAGGAGGGTGTGCAGCTCCCTTGTCCTGCTGTGCTCAGGGAGATCCTTCCGGACCCACCACCCCATCCTGAGGGGGTCCCGGCCCCAGTAGGAACTTGCCTCTTTCATTAAGGGAAGGAAACATAGTGGGTTGGCATTCAACTTCAGCTGCCAGCATGTCTGCTGATACTGAGCCATTATTTTTCCTTTCCCTGCCTCAATTTCCCCTTTGCAAAGTAGAAGGGATCCATTAGGTTAGTCCAGAGGACTCTCAGAATCCAGACACCTTCTGAACATCATTCAAGGGCAGCCACATTTTGCTGTAGGAGATGGGAGCGAGAGATCCAGGGCTTCTCTTACTCCACATGCAACCACAGGCAGATGTGGAGGCAGCAGAAGGGAAGGTCAGGCTTGTGCATGCTTTCAGGAGAGGAGAGCTGCCCAGGGCCTCAGGTAAAGGGAGGAGTGGAGTCGGGACCCTCTGGCTCAAAACTCCCTGCTTTCCGTGGATCTTCTCTCTTGATCTTCCACCATCACACACCTTCTGCCCCAGTCCTGAACTTCATCTCATTCACTAAATCATCCCTATCTTCTACGTGTCCTGCATTCTCAAGTTGCCGGGGCAGGGGCCACAGGATGGAGCTTCTAAGACTCTCTCCATGTGGGACCTCAAGGTCACTGGAGATCTGTGAGCTTTACAGCCTCAGGACCACATGCCGGGTTCAGTGCTCTGCTCCTTCTCCCCTCTTGCTGGCCTGCCTCCTGCTGCTCCTCTGTGTTTTAATTTATTTTTAATTGTGGAAAATGCACACATAAAACTTACCATCTTAGCCATTTTCAGTGCAGTTTGGTGGCATTAAGTGTATTCACTGTTGTGCAATCATCCCCACCATCTATCTCCAGAACATTATCACCTTCCCCAAATGAACGAAACCCTGTCCCCGTGAAACACTAATTCCCCATTTCCCCTCCCCCATAAACCACCCTTCTGTCTCTATGAATTTGATTATTCTAGGTGCTTCATATGAATGGAATCATGTGATATTTGTCCTATTGTGACTGGCTTATTTCACTTAGTATAATATTTTCAAGATTCATACATGTTGTGTGTTAAAATCTCCTTCCTTTTTGGGTGGCTCAGTTAGGTGAGCATCCAACTCTTGATTTCAACTCAGGTCATGATCCTAGGGTTTTGGGATCGAGCCCAATGCTGGGCAGCATCGTCCATGCTGATTGTGGAGCCTGCTTAAGATTCTCTTTCTCCCTCTGCCCCTCTCCCCTGCTCTCTCTCTCTCTCTCTAATAATAACAAATTTTTTCTTCCTTTTGAAGATAGAATCATATTCCATTGTAAGTATATATCACATGTAGTTTATTCACTCATCCAGTCACAGACACTTGAGTTACTTCCCCCTTTTGGCTGTTGTGAATAATGTTACTACGAACATAAGTGAATGAGTATCTGTTCTAGTCTCTGCTCTCAACTCTTTTGGGTATATATCCAGAAGTGGGATTGCCTGATCTGCTGCCCCTGTCCTACCTGTTTTTTGTGTTTTTTTTTTAAAACAAAGGTATGGGCAGCCTGAAGAAGAGAGGGGGTTAGTTTAATGGGCCCTTGCCATTAAAGGACACATGCTCCTCTGTGGTAAGGGTCCATGGTAATCAAGAAGGACAGAGGTAAGACCTCCCCAAATCATGGAATCAGGACTGGTAAGAGCTGAATGGATCCTTGGAGCCTATCCAACTGACAGATAAGGAAGTGGAGTCTCAAAGTGGGGATGAGATGGATTCAGGGTTCCATAGCTTTTCAAAAGCTCAGCAGGCGTTAGAGTGCAGGTCTTCTCCCTTCCAGCTTTCAGTGACAGAGGGGGCTCGTGTTTACCTTCAGACCCAGCAGGGATTAGCTCCCTGTTGCCTGAGAACCCTCCAGTCTGCTGTTCCCCATCCACCTCCTTTCTGCTCCACTCTGCTGAGGATGCATGCAGGGGCGAGGCGCCAGCAGCCTCTGCGGAGGACAGCATCCTCAGGAAGGATGTGTGTACCATGCCTTTAATCCATCGGTCTCAGCATGCCCCAAACAGTGCCACAGCAGGAGTCTGGGGGATGGTCTGTCTGGGGGGACCCAGGCCCTGCTTGTGTCTGCAGAAGGCCTCACTCCTGCCCATGCTGATCAGGCCTGGCATACTGACTGTCTTCTACCCCACTCCTCAGAACCCAGCCACATACCAGCCTCCGGAAAGAGGACAGAGCACTCACACTCCATATTTGACCCCATTTCCCCCCCAGCCCTCCCTGGACAGAGCTGATTGCCTCAGGGAAAAACGGCCCAGTCATTCTCCCATCCCCCAAGGCCCTCTGGGCCCCACTCAGCCTGAGGGATGAGTGTGCTCATTGCTAGCATTTAAGAGGTTCTCCATGTGCGTCTGCTCTGAGGGGCATTTCCTTGGGGTCCGGCCAACCTCAGAGTACAGTCAGAAGCTTCTGGATTTTAAAAGGTCTCTGGGCCTTACTCTAGAAAATTCCCAATTGCCAACCTCAGCCATGTATGGACGACCTTCCTGCTGTGGTCCAGACTCACATTCCAGAGCTGGGCCCCACAGCTCACTGCTGGTGGGTATCTCCGGTGGGTCTCTCTGTCCCAACTCTTGGTGGCCTAAAACTGAAGTGGGACATGGGACACCCAGCAGCAGAGTCTGTCTCTGTTAGGGTCGGAGAGGTGCTGGGAAGAGGCAACCAGGAGTATCAGAGTCTGGAGTGCGTTAAATTGGAAACTGAAGAGGGCAGGAGACCTCAGTGGGAGGTGGCCTCCAGTAGGTGACTGTGGAGTCTGGGATTTCTCGGGCCCATTCCCTCCTGCACAGAGGCTGAGGATGGGCCCCAGTGCCCCGAACCTTCTGTGGGTGTGTCCCAGGGAGGGTGGAGCAGGGCAAACATCTGGGCTGTGTCTGGAGAGGCCCCTGCACCTTCGCCTTCCTGCTCCCCAGCCTGAGCTGTGCTGTCTGTTCCAGGACTGCCCCCAGCTGCTGCGAGTGGACAAGATCCTGGTGCCCGTGGAGGTGATCAAGCCAATCACTCTCAAGGCCAAGAACCTTCCCCAGCCACAGTCTGGGCAGCGCGGGTATGAATGCATTCTCAACATCCAGGGCAGCGAGCAGAGGGTGCCCGCCCTGCGCTTCAACAGCTCCAGTGTGCAGTGCCAGAACACCTCCGTGAGTTCCCCTAGCCCCGCTGCCCCCGGGCCGCCTGAGCCCCCCTCCTTCACCCCCACATCAGCTCAGTTCTACAGGGTTTCCCTGAACACCCACAAAACTATCTAGCCACCTGCCTCACTGCTCCCCCCGACCCTACTTGCCCGGCCCTGCCTCTTAACGCCGGCCCCAGTGGAGTGCTAGGCTCTGAGGTCTGTCTGCCCATGGTTATGGTGAAAGGGGTCATCTGCCCAAGGCAGAGGCTGCAGCGGCAGGGGCTTACAGACCAGCCATGGGGCTGCCAAGTGCTGTCTGTGGGCGGAGAGAGGTATTTGCAGGGTGTGCTAGGCTCCGGGAACATCCTTGTCCATCCTTCATGAGACAAGCTCTGGAGTCCCTGGGCCCTGTCTTCCTACCAGGGCTGACCTGAGCAGCCCACCTGAGCCCACAGAGGCCCACTGCTCCCTTTATACCTGCACAGAGGCCTTTTCCCAGCAAGACAGACCAAGCATCTGCAAAGGGAGCCGTGGAACAGGATGGAGCTAGCCAGAGGGGTGCTGCTTGGATCAGCACAAACCTGCCTGATGTTTAGAAAATTCACATCAGGCCCATGCCCGACCAAAGACAGGTCAGCAGCCCCCTGCTGCCAATGGCGATCGTCTGATTCCTGGGTACCGTTCGGTGTGCCCTAGTGATGCATCACCTTTCCTGTGTGGCTGCTCCTGTCCCAACGTTGTGGTCTTCCCAGCCGCTGCTCTGTTCTCTCTCTCATTCTCTTTCTGGGCCACTTCTGTGCACCCAGACACTCAGAAACAAGCATTAGGCTTATGGACTCATAACATTTTCAAGCTGTAGGATACCTTAATATTCTTCCTCACTGTACAAATGAAAAACTGGAGGCCCAGAAGCAGGGGCAGCTTTGTAGGGGCTGAAACTTATACAATTTGGGGGACCTTCTTTTAAGAATGAGATGTAATAAATACAAAATTTGATATATAGGCAGGCCTGAGAAGGGGCTGAAATTCCATGTGCCTCAGGGTAACCCACCCTGCAGGTAACCTCACCTGTCAGGGCTGCTGGGCTCCATTCTGTGCCTTTGTTTCCGGGAGGCTCCAACTTTGCTCTCACAGTCAGAGCAATGGGGCCCCTAGGAAGCTTGTTCATTGAGTCAGGCCTGGCTCAGAAATGCTGAGGACGGTACATAGAAAGGCAATGGGTCCCAAGGCACTGAGTTCTGACCAAGGAGTTTATAGAATGAACTCAGGCTGCTATATTTTCTGTTTAACTGAGCCAGGTGAAGCCCAGGGCCCATGAGGCCCAGGCCTGTAGTGTCTGGGGAAACAAGGGCTCCATCATCAGAGGTCATAGACTCTGTCCTCCCTCTGGGACCAGGTTCCCTGGGGCAGTGTCTCTGATGAAACAGACTTTTCTACGTCGTTTAAACCCCTATCTGCCTTCCGCTGACTCGCATGTGGAGCTCAGGCTTTTTCTTCCCGCAGGCACTTACTTATTTAGGGGAGAATCACTTGAGCCAAACCCTTGGGGCTGGTCTGGTTGGCTTCAGGATTTATGAGGAAACAGGAGGTGTTTAATATCCCATTTGCTTGCAGGTTTAATCTGGAATGCTACAGAAATCTGCCAAACAGCCTGGCGGTCAGGACGGGAGGGAGATGTACATGTGGGAGCTGTGGGGACACATCTGGGGTTTCAAGGGTTGGGACATCAATTGCCAGTTCAGTCCCTGTAATGCTGAGTGACCTTGAGCAAGTAGGTGGGCCTCTCTGAGCTTCATTTACCCCTAGACTTTTTCCAACAGGGAGAGTGAGGGGCTCCCATGAACTGCTTTGTCCAGGACTCTCCTGGTCCTATATCACATCCCCAAATACAGTCACCATATAGAAGTCGCCACAGCACCAGGAAGGATGAATGGGAGGCAGTGTGACATAGGAGGAGACCCTGAATCCAGGCTCAGCCCTGCCCCTCACTAGCTGTGTAACCTTAGACATGTCGATCTTTTTCCTGTGGGAGTAAAGTTGGAGCCTCCTGGGAACAAAGGCACAGAACGGAGCCCAGCATCCCTGACAGGCGGGGTGGGTCCCCTTGTCTAGGGTGCCTCCGCAGGGTGCCTATGTTGGCATCCTGGTCAGTACCATGGGGACAAGGGGGAGGTGCCATGGGGCATCTACTTGTCTGATGTCGAATCCTTGGGATTTACAAAATCTGCTAATCACACACTGCTCCTTACTCAGGGATTTCACATCTGGGAGTCTGATGCCCCAGGACACTGCAGTCAAGTCTGATTTCAGCCCCAAGAGGCCCCAGGGACCCCATAGGGGTCTTGCCTGGTCGACTGGCCTCCTGGATGCAGGGGTGCGGTCAACCTCAGATCCACTTCCAGGAGACTTCCTGGGTCCGCAGGACCACAGTGGAAACATGATGCTGGGGCCAAAGGCCTGGGGCCCCAGGCTCTGACCACCTGCGAGAGGACATGACTCCCAGGCTCCTGGCACATCCCCTGCCGTCCCTGCAGGAGGTGGGGCAGGCGCACCCCGAATGCTGGCCCTTGGTGCTCAGAGTCTGTCTGAGGTCCCCCACCTGCCACCAGCCGGTTTGCAGCATCTTACTAAGGCTGCTGCTCCCAAAACAGCTTGGCCTTTCTTATTTCAACACCCTCATGAGGAAGGTGATGAGAAAGTTTGTGACTGGACCATTTTAAAGTCTTAAAACGTGAGGCGACAGGAAGTGTACCCCACAAAGGGTAGATTCCAGGAAACGTTCCCTCTATCTACGAGGACCTGCTGGAATATCCCACACTTCAGGAGGGCTCATCTCTGGCTCTTCCCAGGAGCCTCTCTTTCCAGGGATCTCAGTTTAAATGCTATTCTGGGCATTTAATACTGATACCACTTGCCATCAAGTGACTTCCTTAAAAAACTTTGGGATCACCATCAGGGGCAAGCCTCCTTTACCATAGTTATAGAGGACAACGTACTACCAGAACAGGAATAGACTTGAGAGGCTGTCTACTGGTGATCTGTGACAGAAGGGATCTCTAAAGCCCAGAGAGGGCATGCGACCAGCCCCAGGTTATACAGCAAGTAAATAGCAAACTCAGAAATTCAACCCAGCTTCATAACACACCCCCCTCAATCAAAGGTTGGGCAGAAAATAGCAACTGAGCTCTTGATACCCAGCCTTGGTGCTCTGCCTGGGAACAAGGTCTGATGTGCCTCAGACAGGACTGTGGGAGGAGTTTTATTGTTTCACTTCCTAAATCCCTGAGCTTTCTAGAATGGGGGAGGGGGACAGAGGAAACCCATCAAAACCCCCGAGTTTGTGATGACAGAGGAAAATGGGCGACAAAGAGGTGTCAGAGAACAGAGAAGAAAAACAGGAAAACTGCGCATGGTGTGATGCCAGCTGGGCGGGCAGGCAGGTTGTCTCCAGACCACATTTTGGGGACAGGCCTTGGGCCATCACTGGAGCCCGAGGGGGGTGCTGTGGGAGGAAAACAGAGCAGCTCCCAGGCAGCAGTTGGAGGGAGGAGCAACCATGGGTATTCTTGGCCTCCTTTAGACCAAGGCTCCAGGGAAATGACAAGTGCTACTAATAATAGTGCCCGGTCCCTGCCTCTCAGGCTCCAGCAATCACGCGAGCAAGGGGGCCGCAGGGGGCAGCCAGCTTCAGCCCCAGCCTCCACTGACCCACAGTGGCTGCCCATCTCCTCTCGGTGTCCCAGTTTACCAGGTGCAGAACAAGGATGGGGAGGTAACTGGGCCCCCTCCCTGCTTTCCTGGAACTCAGCTGGGAAGGGGTCTGCTGAGCCGTCTGGGGTCCTGGGGATGGACGCGGAACATAACACAGGCTTGTTGGCTGTTCAGATCTGTCCGCCTGAATGGTAGAATTTTCCAGCAGAACATCTCTGAGCTCAGAACAGGGAATGGTTAGCAGAAAGAATGTCCAAATTAAATAGGTCTTGTCTTTGCTTGACAAGGTAGAGGCTCACGCTTTCCTGAGGTAATGAGCAACGTCATCCCCTAGCTGCACTGTGGTGTGCCAGACCTTGATTGAGACACTTAACCTCCTGGCCCCTGAGAGCCTGAAACACTCTCCCCTTAGCTCTGGGTTTTGTACAGATTAACTGCCTACTGATTGCAGAGAGCTATATAAAGGCTAAATGAAGCAGAGGTGGGGGTCCTGGGGGATGGGAGCCAGTGGTCCAGGCCACCCAGCTGTCAGCCTCCTCCTGCTGCAGAACGCAGGTCATGGGGAAAGAACCTCCAGGAATTACTGTGACCTCCCTAGAGATGGAGGGGGTGGTGGAGAGCACCAGGGGTTAATGGCTTCTATAATATTTCATAGTCAAGATCCCAGGAACGGGCGACAAAAAGATAAAGCAATGCCCAGCATATTTGATCCTTGAAGTCTTTTCAATTTTCCTCAAAAATGAAATGCATGTAAACACACATATGCATCCCGAAACACATAAGCATGCTCATGCACATACATTCCATATGTACCAAGAGTCTGGTGCATAAACACTCAATAAATGCCTGCTATTATTACTTCACATAAACATAAACACAGGGAACACAAGCATATTTTTGGACGGCATCCCCAAATGTATACACACAGACTGAAACACACAGTCATACTTGAGTGCTTATTCTATGTGACAGGCACTGTGCTCAGAGCATGGGACGGTTACCTCGAGCCCTAAGAGTCCTGTTAGGTCTGCACTGTTCGTAATTCCCACTTCACAAACAGGGAAACTGAGACTCCCATCATTTGCTCACATTCACACAGGCGGTCACTGCGGAACCACTTTGTGGCGGTACGTGCACAGATTCGTGTGCACGCGCATATGAGCACTCAGACAATACAGATTTGTGCCCTGAGCTCTTCTCACATGAGCTGCATGTGAACACGTTTGTGCACAGACACACATGCATACATATGCAGAGTGTTTTGCCTTGATGTCTCGGGGGTTTCAGGGCCTTTCTGAGAGAGGCCGGAAGGTTCTATTGATCTGTGGTTGACGGGGCCCTTGGTCACCACCTGCTGCTTCCACCTGCTGAATCCTGGCCAAACCCAGGCCTGAGAAGCAGGAGGCAGGCTTGGATCCTGACTTAGGCACCACCGGCATCCCTCCTAGAGGCAGAGGCAGAACAGCCTCAAGCCAGCCCTTAGCACCTTCCCTTAACAGCTTGCCTGCACTGGGGCCTTGGAGGAGGGAGATGGAAACAGAGATGGGAAGGAGACGAAATGGAGCTTAGCTAGGAGAGGGAATGGGAGAGAGATCTGGAAAAGTCCCTCCTCTCTCCCACCCTGTCTCTGGCTCCTACAACATCTCTCCACCATCAGTCCACTGTCCCCTGCTTCTAGCAGACTGCAGGGAGTGGGAGCAGTGAGTCTCTAACTCCATGCAGCACTAGAGTCGCAGAGTTGCCTGTTTGAAATGCATCCCCATCTTCCAATCCAGCAGGTGCAGGGGGAGGCCCTGGGATCTGCGTTTAGGCCCCCTAAGTGATTCTTGATGAAAGTGGCCCACAGACCATCCCGAGAACCACTAGTCTAGAGAGGAGGAGGTTTTTTGAGAAAGCTCAGGATGCCTTAGAAGTGCCCAGTCTGACCGAGAAGCAAAGAACATCATTCCTGGGGAGTTGGTCAACTGCACTACATGGCAAAGGGCTTATGAGTCACCAGCTGAGTTAAGCGATCATCAAAGTCCCTGCGGTTGTTTCTTCAGGGCTGGGGAGCTTTGCTTTATTCTATGGCTTGAGCCCAGGCCCTGGTGTCATGGGTCACAAGGGAGATTCTATGAGAGTGTGGATGGTACAGAGCCAACCACAACACTGAATGTGGCTCCCTGGCCTCGGCACATGTCTCCAGGGAGTTAGTGAAAAATTTGGGAGTGCCAGGGTAGAGCCTGAAGAAGGCTGGACACCTTCCCACTTATATGGTGTACGAGGACAGTGTCATGATATATTCACACTGGAGCGCCTTCTCAGGAATAACTCGGGAATTTAGGGTGATTTCCCAGATTAGGATTGTAACATCTCCTCTAGAAGTCTCTATGGAGAGGCTCCAGAGGCAGTGACACCATTGCAGCCTGAGACCCTCCCAGGCTGTGCATTCCCAAGGTTCTGTAGCCTCTCAGTGAGAAGCTAGCAGCTCACTCGCTCTGGGGAGGGAGCATCGCTGCCTCCATAACATCCGTCAACACCCCCACACCCCAGCCCCTCCAAACTTCAACTGAGTTCAAAGAGCCTTTGGCTCTGCAAACACCACTTCGAGCCAGGTCTCCTGGACTGAACCCCTCTAGCAAATTGCCAGCTCTCAGCCCCTCCTCTGAAGAACCTGTCTCTGTTCCATTCCTCCATTCACCCCCTGTGGAGGGCAGAATCTGGTGGAATAATGAGAAAATCACCAGGTACGGATTGGAAATGCTGCCCTGGGCAGGCTCAGAGTTCCTGCCACCTACCCTCCTTCTCTGGGGATTGAGAAGTGTCTGCTATCAGAAGGTGGGGGGAGATAGTTGGGGGGGGGGCTGGCACATCCTGTTCCCTCCATATCCCCCCTCCCCTGGAGCACTCAGACCCAAGGATGAGACCCAGCCAGGTGGGGCACTGACTCCAAGGAGAGTTGGGCAGGGAAACAGCACCCCGCAGGGACCCTGTCCAGGCCTAGAGGCAGCTCCTCCACGGGCAGCTACAGAGTTGGGGCCTGGCCTCTTCGAGCCAGCACATGCCTTTGGAGTCTTGATCCAGATTCCTGGGTTTGGCCTCTAGGGTGTCCACAGGACTTCCCACCCCACCTCTAAGCCCCACTCAGCTCTCCTGACTCCTAACCTCCATCAGCTCAGCCCCTGAAGAGTGCGCCCCCTTCATTTCCAGTGCCTGCACCCGCCACCCCTGCCTGGGAATTGATCAGCCCTCTCTAGGTCTTTGATAAAGCACCCACCTCCTCTGAACTTGTCTTAGGAATTAATGTTCCCAGGTTGAATCAAGGGCCTGGTGGCGCCTAATGACGGGGTTCCCCCTGGACAGTGAGGGAGGAAGCTGGGAAACCACCGCTGGTATGAGCCAGCATCCATGGAAGGGGGCTGAGTCGCTTTGCACTAACCTGCCCTAAATCTGTATTCCAAATGGGTGTCCCATCCAGACCTGGTCCCTCCCCTGCCTTAGTATCCTGCCCTCTCCACCCCCACCCTGTTCCCCCAGCCATGCTTCCCACACATGCGCCCACACATGCACTCAAACACAGGCATGGCAGGTCCTTAGCCCTGAGTGCCTCGCAGGCTCCAGGCCAAAAGAGCTGGCTCTCCCTAGAAATTTCTGTGACCCAGCTTTTTTCTTTCCTACCCCCAACCTGGTTGCAGTATTCCTATGAAGGGATGGAGATCAACAATCTGCCTGTGGAGTTGACAGTTGTGTGGAACGGGCACTTCAACATTGACAACCCAGCTCAGAACAAAGGTGTGGAAGGTGGACCCCGGGTTGGGGAGACAGGGCAGAGGGAGGTGGCGGCCCTGCCTTTGAGGGCACATGTTATCCCATCCCTGTGCCATTGACCCTCTCTTTCTGGTTCTGAGCCTTCCCTCTAGCCTTTGAGGTCAGCTCCATGACCTCTCGGGTGCAGGGCCACCATGGGCAGTGACCCTGGGGGTGGCAGAGTGAGTAGAACTGGCTGCAAGAGCCCTGCTGATTCTGGAGGGAGACCCCGTTTCTGGTTAAGTTTTGCTCCCTGGGGCCGAAGTTCTCCTTTGCTCTTCTCTGTGTCAGAATGGCTAAAGGGACACGGCTGCTTGGGTCTCATGATCCGAGGCTGGGACTGCACTCATTGTTCACAGTCCCATCCCCTTCCACCCCCCACTCTGTCCTTCACCCACAGTTCACCTCTATAAGTGTGGAGCCATGCGGGAGAGCTGTGGGCTGTGCCTCAAGGCGGACCCGGACTTCCAGTGCGGCTGGTGCCAAAGCCAGGGCCAGTGCACCCTGCGGCAGCACTGCCCCGTTCATGAGAGCCCGTGGCTGGAGCTGTCGGGTGCAAACAGCAGGTGCACCAACCCCCGCATCACAGAGGTAAGCCGTGGTCCTCTGGGCCGCTCCAGATGGCCGAGCCATGCCCTGCCATGGCCGGGGCCCCCGCCAGCCATCTCCCGCCATGGTGTCAGCCACCCCATTGGTTGCCACGGCTGGCTGGAAGCATCCTCATATTCCTGCCCAGCTCCCCCAGAAATGGTGGGTTTGGTCCAGGGGTGTTTCCCTTACCAAGGAAGGTTGAAAACAGAGAAGCGCTCCACTGTCCTGTGGGAGTCTCCCTGAGGACAGTATCAAAAATGACTCGAAGTCCTGGCCACTCTCCCTTTGCCTCTAAGAATCTGGGTGATGAGGCTGTTAAGCTCCATCAGGGACAACCTCGAGCAGAGGCTGCGTGGGGTTCCAGGGCACAGCGCCCAGCCCCCGGGAGGTGGAGAAGGTGGCAACGGTGAGATCTTGGGACTCACTCAAAGCAAGATCTAAGCGGGTAGATGGCAGAAACGGATTCGGAGCACAGTTCAGGGGCCATGGGCCATGGAGTAAAGATGAGTGAGAGGCAGGGCAGAGCTAACCGTGCAGAGAACAGGGCGCGAGTCCCAGCTCTGCCAGCTAGGTGCTGGGTACCCCGGGGCTAATTCGACACTGCCTTCATGCCTCAGCTTCCTCACCTGTGCAAGGGGTCTAAGGCTCCATCTCACAGAGGAGTTACAAGGATTGTATGAGCCTCAAATCATGCACAATGCTGGCTCCGTGCCCAGCCCACGGGCATCTCACCATCCTCCCACTTGTCCGTCATCACCGTTGTTAAGGCTGTTGCCATCTGTGTCTACGCCTAGGGGATCACTGCCCCTGGGGTTTCTTTAGGTCACCAGTGCCTTCATCTCCCCACTCTCCACTCCTGGCAGAGAGTCCCCGCAGGCATCACCTCCCGCCATGCTCCCCTGTAAAAGAAAGAAGAGGCGTGCATGTCTCAGCAGCGGCGCCCTCTGTGCCTCTAGCACAGTGTTTGCACCTTGTAGGAACTCAATGCCTCCTTGCTATATTGGCTGCTGATTTTAATAACAGAGCAGAGTAGACCAGAGGAAGAAAGAGGAAAGGGAGCTCCATCTTGCCTCCATACCTAGAGACCGGTGGCTCTGTGCAGAGTTTCACAAACACCCACGTATCCAATAATCTAATCATGCCAGATATTGCTGTGGTCCTTCACAGTCTGCACAACAGTTTCCTATCCCTTACTTTGTCCGTCCTCGCAGCGACCCCACCATATGGTTCCTGGGGCTACCGTAACACAGTACCACAGACGGAGTGGCTTCAAAGATAGACATTTGCTGTCTCTCAATTCTGGAGGCTGGAAGTTGAGACCCAGATGTGGGCAGGACCGGTCCTTCTGAGGGCTGTGCGGGAGGACCTGCTCCAGCCTCTCTTTCCTGGCTTTCAGGGGGTCTTCTCCCTGCGTCCCATCTTGTCATCGTCCTGTGTCTGCATCCAAATTCCCTCTTTATTTGAGGACACCAGTCATGCTGGATTAGGACCCACCCTAATGACTTCATTTCAACTTGATTACCTCTGTAAAGACCCTTTCTCCGAATAAGGCCACGTTTGCAGGTACTGAGCATTAGGACTTCCGTGGATGGATTTGGAGAGGGCACATTTCAAGTTTAATGCCTGCCAAAGCCAGGGTTATTAGCCCCCGTTCCCAGATACAAAGAGCAATGCTCAGAGATGCTAACGCCCTCACACCAAAGCGTAAATCAAAGGGGCCCTGAATCCTGGGTCTCTGGATTCCTATATTAGTGCTCTCTTTCACCACAAAGGCCAGACACCCATAGATATACCCCCCCCCACCCCTCCACTCACAAGCTGTGCACACATACCAGGGAGGTACAAAAGCAGGCAGGGAGGGAGCTTGACGTTTGTGAGTGCACAGCCTCCTCCAGCAAAGTGGCCCCGCCATGGTGGCCCTCTGTATGTGCCCTCCACTTCTGCCCCTTGTCCTCCACATTCCTGGTTTTCCAGACATGGGGAGTCTCCCTCAGCCTCAACTTCAGTCTCCTGCATGGGTAGGAATCTCAACAGCAATTCTCGAGTTGGGGCAAAAGACATGCATTTAACCGACATGCCTGAGGAAGGAGGGCACCTGCACCCTCTGTGCCCCAGTCGCCCTCCTTTACAACTTCTCCCACCCGCAGAGCCCTTAACACAGAACCACCCCCTGGGGCTGCCACGCATGACTGCTGCTGGTGTGTCTGCATCGAATAGTACGACTTGCTTCCTTCTTGGCCTGAGACCAAGAAAATCACAGGGAGGAGATGGCAAATTAAACAAATCTCCCTGTGACGGAGGCTATTTATTGGCTCTATACTGGCGTCAACCCTCCGGGGAGCCCAGGGAACCAAAGACTGGGCCAGAGATAAAGCTCCTTTTTCAGTACAACATGCCAGGGCTGGAATATCATGAAGCCACTGCTGCCAGGTGCCCATGGGGCTTTGGGGACTGGCTGGGCAGGCATTTGGGAAGAACAGACACTCCGCCTTCCAGCCCTCCCTATATCTAACTGCCTCCCTCTCACAGAAATGGCCCCTGCCTCCAAGGGATCTGTCTTTCCACAACAGTGGGAACAAGTACATGAAAACCCTCACACTCATGGGCACGCTCACTCATGCACATGTGCACGCATGGGTAAGAAGCAGGAAGGATCTTAACTTGTAGGTGAACAGCCTTTCCCAGCAAAGACACCCCTTGAGCCTGGTTTCTTCCACCTTCCTCCAGGGAGGAGCCCCCAGTTGTGACCTTTGGGGGCAGAGAGAGTAGGAAGTATTAAGAGATGGACTGTCTGGGCTCCTTGAGTTGTGATCTCATTGGTGTGGGCCAAGATCTAGTTGCTGGTGTTCAGAGACATCAGGAATGGGAACCGTGCCCTTCTCTGGTCTTTCAAATGCCAGGAGAGGCTGGCACAGAATGCCTTCTGACTAGGGTCACTGCTGTGGGATGTCATAATTAGATTGCATGAACGGTACAGGGCGCCTACCTCAAAGTAGGCCCTTGGTTGTTGGTTCCCAACATCTCAATCGTGGGTTTTTAACACCAATGGTGACATCTTGGGAGGAAGAGCCAGTCATTTTGGCCAGTATATGAAGGTAAAGTCTAAATTAAACCCATCTCTGTTAGAAACCAAGCCAGACATAGAAGGCAAAGGGCTTGTGACAAATGCCCTTCTAAATCCAGGAAGATGCTGGGTAGCTGTGGTTTTCAGCTCAATGACAACCTGAGAAATAAATATGGTGCCATCACTGAAAAGTCCACAGGAAGTAAGACACCATCCCTGCGCTCAGAGACGCAGGATCTGAAAGGTGAGGAATCAGACACCAGTGCTTGTTACCGTGAAAGGAGCATTACATGTCAGTGGAGAGAGAGAGAGAACAACTGGTTATGGGGAAGTGACATTTGAGAAGGATTTTGAAAACTGGGTGGTTTGCCATAGTGTGAAGGGCTGTGGGCATTAAGAGGATTGTTCATTTTCCTTCAGAATGAAACAACACAAGCAAATATCAAGAGGCTTTATTCCTTGATTTTCTATGAATCACCCGGCAACAGTATGGGTCACGTTCCGTCACCCATGTCTTCCACCAAATAGGAAGGTGAATGAGGGGATTTGAACACTGTTCCTAATACCACACACAAACATGAACTTCTCTACCAAAAGTTCCCGCCATTGAGGTTCCCAGACCTGGGGGCCCTTGTAGACATGGGCCCAGCTCAGGGAATCAGGTAGAGAGGGGGAAGAGCCAGAAGCCTCTCCTTGCCTTACCAGCAAGTGGGTAATGGCTCTCTCTTGGTGCCTGTCAAACTGCCACGGTTCCTCCTTCCAGATAATCCCAGTGACGGGTCCCCGGGAAGGGGGCACCAAGGTCACCATCCGAGGGGAGAACCTGGGCCTGGAATTCCGAGACATCGCCTCCCATGTCAAGGTGGCCGGTGTGGAGTGCAGCCCTCTGGTGGATGGCTACATCCCTGCAGAACAGTAAGTAGAAGCCACAGGAGACATACAGAGGTGCGCCTCTCTGCTGCTGTTGACGCCCCTTCCCTGGCTGACAATTGACAGCCAATGGCAAAAGGTGATAGAAACCGTTGGGGTGGGGGGAGTAGAAGGCCCCTAATATTCTAGTGTACTCCCCACCCCTGAACTAGCTAGCTAGCTAGCTAGTATAGAAAGGGGAAGGGGAAGGGTACATGGGGCTGGGAGGGAAGAGAAAAGTGATCCCTACCACCTTGGGGTGTGGCTGTGGGTAGTGATGAGACAAAGCAAAATGAAAATCTGCAAGAGAAGCATGAGTTCAGTTCCTTACCCACTGATGTCCCTAACTCCCCACTCCTGTCCTCCTCCAATTATGAAAGAAGCTAAGCCTCTGACACTTTCTGTAGAGACTGAAAATGAAACCCCACACCTGCTCTCTGGCCTGTGGGAATTTTGGATTGTTTTTCTGCATGCACAGTCTGCTGGTGCATGGAGTGGGTCGTTCCATCAATGACCTTTACGTCCCAATCCACCTGTTAGAGAATGTTTGTGAGTCATGTATCATTGCCTTGGAAATAAGTAAACACAATTCTCCAGCCCAGCAGACGTTCCCATGAAATGTTTGCCAGCACGATTAGATTCTATCTTCTATACCATCTTTGCTGGCCCTCCCAGAGCGACATGTTGCCACCTGTGCTGTGTGCATGTGTCCCTGACTCTTTGCAGGTCTCCCCTTGGGTATGTCGGTGCAGTTTTCCTCTCACTTTGCTGGGTCTTGCGCAGGTTTAGTGATTGTGGAACTGTCAGTACCACCATCCTCAGTTCCTTCTGATTTCCCTCCAGATCTTCCAAAGGCACTCTTAGTCGATCCTGTGATAGAAGGATCTGTTCTTAATAGAACTCACCTTGTGGCCCGTCACTTCTTTATTTGCCCAAGGATCTTTTTGTGGCTCCTTCAACTTTCTGAGTCCTTCCCTAGAACAAAACCAAAAGCAAGAGGCTACCAATATATTGTGATTTGGGGAACTTTAAAATGCCCTTCTCTGGACCTGCAAAGCCAGATAGAAAATACATTACTAGAAAGTCACATGATTGACATATTGTGGTATCGGTTAGATTAGTGGAATAAGAGAACACCAGGAAGAAAATCCTGATACATAAAAAGTTAGTGATGTGGTAAAGGTGACATTTCAAATCAGCAAGGGAAGCAAAGATCCTTCAATAGCAGTTCTCATTAACTCCCTGAAAAAAAAGTATACCAGACTCTTATTTCACATTATACACCAAAATAAATTCCAGACGGATTAAAGAATTAAGTGAAAAAAATAAGTCTGTGGAATGACTAGAAGAAAATGCAAGTGAGAATTTATCTGATTTCAAATAAGGGAAGTATAATGGTTCTAAGTATAACAGCAAAGGAAAAAAATTGTAAAGAAAAAGATCGGGGGATTAGAGTATATAAAACTTAAATTTTGTTTATCAAAAATCAAAGAAAATTATGAATGATAAACTGGGACTCTTATTATACCCAATTACAGTTAATACAGCTTTTTCTTAATATACAAAGAGGTTCCATTTTTTAAAAAAGCAAATATCACAAAATGAGCAAAAAGCATGACTGTGAGCAAAGAACATCACAAAGTAGACAAAGAACCAAAAGCCATATAAAAAAGTTAAATATCATTAGTAATCAATGAAATGAAAATTAAAATAATGGGGAACAGTTTTAAAAAGTCAATGCCCCGTTCAGATGAGAACCATGAGAAATAACACATTCATATATTTGCATTGGGAATGTAAATTGGGACAAACTTTGTGGAAAGAAATTTGGAAATGTGGATTATAAGTCTTTAGCCCAGGTCATAATATTTCTAGAACTTTACGTAAATAACTAGAATGCACAAATATTTATTTGCAAAGATATTTATTTTGGCCTTATTTTTAATAGTGGAAATTTAGAAGCAATTTGTATATTTTAAAATAGGGAATTAATCAATCCCATCAATTATTGTATTTGCACAGACAAGAAACTACATAGCCATTAAATCTGATGTTACAGAAGAATCATGACCAGCATATACTCAAGGTGTGTTAGTGAGAACATCATTTACCAAGCAGAATAGAGTTTCTAATTAATTCTTTTTTTAAAATTTTTTAACTGTTTTATTTATTTCTGAGAGAGAGAGAGAAAGAGAGCGAGCAGGGGAGGGTCAGAGAGAGAGGGAGACACAGAATCTGAAACAGGCTCCAGGCTCTGAGCTGTCAGCATAGAGCCCGACGTGGGGCTCGAACCTGCAAACTGTGAGATCATGACCCGAGCCAAAGTCGGACGCTTAACCGACTGAGCCACCCAGGCGCCTCTCTAATTAATTCTATAAAAGAAAAACAAGACTGAAAACATGTACATCAAAATGTTGACCATGGATATTTCTGGATGGTTGAAATGGGGTGGGAGGAGGCATATGTATGGCAAGTGTTTTCATATACTTTCTATTTTTTTCTTTACACTGGACATGTGCCAAGTATGCTATCTGGACAGAAAGGCATATATTTTTACTGGACTCTCACCCCGAAGTTCTTTCTAAGAGACACAGAACCTGGAAGCCATAAAGTAAAAGAAGGAGCAGTTTTACCACAGATACTTTTAAATGTTAGTGGAGCAAAAGACATTATAAACCACGTTGAAAGACAGATGACAGGCTAAGAGAATAATTGCAATACTTACTACAGACAAAAGTTAATACTGCTCATTCAGAAGCTCCCACAAAAAGACAACCCATTAGGAATATAAGGAGACAGTTTCAGACAAATCAAAGGAAAGGCTATCTAAGATTTTTTACAGCCACACACATGCTTGAAACTATTGCAACATCACTAGTAATCAGGGAAATAACAGTGAAAACAAAAAGGAGATCTTTATTCCCTATTATATATTGGAAAAACTGTCAAAGGATTGATAATATCTAGTGTTGGCAAAAGAGTGAACTAATCTCCCTCAATTGCTTTTGACGGAAGTGCAGATTGGTAACAACCTTTTTGGACCATTATTTTCTCCTACCTATCAAACATTAAACGCATAAACAACGACCCCAAAGGCACCCTCCTCAGTGATTTATTCTAATAAATGTGCAGTGCTTCGGGATGTATGTGCTATAAGTCGGTTCATTTTGCAGGGTTATGTGGAGTAGGAGAAAAATCAGGATACGTTAAAGGTACATCAAGAGGGGGACAGTTAAACAAATAATGGTGCAGCCATAGTGTGAAGTGCTCTGAAGCTATCAGGAAGGGTGCAGGAGGGCTGCGCCTGACCCGGGGCAAGTCCACGCTGTGTCTCTGAGTAGAAGGAGACGAGTTTGGAACAGTGGGGAGTCCTGTCTCACTTTGATTTTTAAAATCCCGTGTATGGTTATATATGTATGTTGTATATAATTGTTCATGTGTATGAATATAACTCTTATGTTTACATGCATGTGTAATATCACACATTATGTGTGTGTGTGTACGTGTGTGTATATATATACATGCACGCACACATATGTGTGTGTATATTTGCAAATATATATATTTGGGCAAGTTGCCTAACTTATTCTGTGCCTCAGTTTCTTCATTTATGAAATAGAGATTTTATATATATTATATAAACATATATAAATATATATGTTTGCATAAGTCTAGAGAAAGGTCTATGAAGGTGTGTGTGTGTGTGTATGTATATATATATACACATACACACACACACACACACACACACAGCAAACTTTTAAGAGGGATTAGGAGTGAAGAAAGGGACACTTATTTTTACTATCACACGTCTGTACTGTCCTGTTTTTGAGGGGAATGAACAAGTTTCGTAATTAAAACAATGAACATTTTTAAAAGGGACACACGTGTGCCTCGCCTCCATCCCTCTCTCCTCCCCTCAAGCAGGACTCTCTCCACCCAGCCAAGTGGCCCTCCGGGGCTGGGGACGAAAAAGCCTCCGCTGAGGCAGTCCATGCGGTGGGAATGAAGTGCCCCTTGATTGGGGTGTGAAAACCCTAAGTGTGCTCCAGGGCCCCTGTCGGACATGCTGTGTGCCCTTGGGAAGGTCATTACCTCCCTGGGCTCTGCCAGCCGTGTTCCCTGCGCTGTTTGACTGAAACATTCCCCACCACCTGATTCATAATTCAGTGGACAATTCCTGAATGATGGACTGGGTGTCTGGGGTCAGGACACGGGGACCCTCCCCTAGGCTCCTCACTCCATAAGGGTCTCCAAGGAGACCCATGTAGGTTGCATTTCCTCATTTTCTGAGAACAAAGGGGGAGCCTTGCAGGGAAGAATCAGTGTCTTTCCCCTCCTCCTCCCCCGCCCATCCCTGAGAGCCTACTGCAGAGAAAGGGCTTGGGTAGGTGTGGGGTCCACTCCTGTGACCACAGGGTCTGTCCTCTCCTCCCTGCAGGATCGTGTGTGAGATGGGGGAGGCCAAGCCCAGCCAGCATGCCGGCTTCGTGGAGATCTGCGTGGCCGTGTGTCGGCCCGAGTTCATGGCCCGGTCCTCACAACTCTATTACTTCATGGTAAGTCCCGGCATCGGTGACCAGACCCGGCGTGGGATACAGACCTTGTGACCATGGTTGTCGCCTGGCTGGACCTCTGAGGGCAGACCCCGGGCAGCGCATTGGAGTCTGTCCAGCAGTGTGAGAGCACAGCCCTTTGAATCTGAAAGGCTGGGTTCCAATCCAACCCCACGGTGGCCGGCCCTGGCCCAGGGAAGGTGCTCTGGCTCCCAGGCCCAGCGCCCCGAGCTGGCCCAGTGGCAGCGTGGCCGGGCTGGGATCTGAGCCCTGGCTCTGCTGCTTACTCACTGGGCCAACTTGGGTGAGTTGCTTAACCTTCCTGCGCCTCAGTGTCTTCATTTCTAAAAAGGGGGTGATAATACTTGCGTCTACCCAGGGTATTGTTGTGAAAATTACATAAAATGGCTGTATTGTTGTGAAAATTACATAAAATGGCTGTGTCACCTCTCTCATGTCTTCTATGGGGTCTGTAGCAGCCCGTGTTTCTGCTGTGGCCTGCCCTCTCCCTGTACACTGGCACCCCATCATTTCTATCCCAGAATCTGCATTCATCCTGCCTTCCCCACGCACCAGCACCCCATCCATGACCTCCTTAACCGCACCCCAACCCTCACCTCACCTGTACCTCCACCCCACCTTCCCTTCCCAGGGCTTGTCAGCAGCCCTTACCCTGACCTCCTCCAACCAGGACCCTCCCTACCCCTGCAGAGGCGGCCCCTGGTGAGGGGCTCATCGGGGTCAGGGCTCTCGGGACCTCTCAGCCTCATGGTGTCTGGCAGGCATGTGGGAGGCATGGGCATCTCTCTTGCCCCTCCCTCTGCCTCATTTTCAAAACTTGTTTTACCATCCAGTTAACTCCTCGGGTTAATGATGGCTGTGATGGGGTAGTTTCCTCATGATTCTGGGCTCCGTTTGGAAGCTGGAAGCCTGAAGTGATGGATGGGCATCAAATGCTCGAGAACAGTCCATGGGAGCCCACCTTCCACCCTCCGCCTCTCCCTCCCTCCTCTTTCATCTGCCTCCCTCCCCCTCCTCCTTCCTTCTCCCTTCAGCTGACGACTCTTTAGCACCTTGCAGGATCCTTCTCACTAGATTGTTTGATAAATATTTGCTTAATTGGTTGAATTTCATAATTTAATTTAGTGGCCTTGGCTTGTGGGTGTTACAGTGATGGCTCAGACCGGGCAAAGCCCGTCCCTCAGGGGCCCAAGGTCTAGAAGGAGAGGCAGGATGGAGGATGTGCCTGCCGGGGAGAATGTGGTGGGGGCCAGATGGGGAAATGTGCATCAGACACCCCCTCCAGCGGGCGCTCCGCTCCCTCTGCTCCCCCCTCCACTCGTGAAAACCTCTCCTCCTTCTCAACACAGTTGGCTGTCACTGTGCACACAGGAACTCACGTACAAGAACATACACATGTGTAATGGGTTTAATGGATGGGCACGTGTACTGGGCTCTTCAGGATCTACACTCCCACCTTCTTCTGAAAGGATAGGAGGCAGTTGCCAAGGGAAACCCAACACTCCTGAAGGCAATCAGCCATAAATGTGTATATGTGCGTATGGAGAGAGGGCATGTATACTGTACATTATCTGTATGTATATACACAGAAGTTGTTAATCCAGCAGAGTTGAGATCCTGAGAGGGAGAGATAGCCAGACTGAGACAGAGGCAGAGACAGCACTCCCCAAGTGTTTAAAAGTGTGGTGTGGATGCCAAACTTGGGCAGGAAATCTGGCTCTGAAATTACATATCTATCAGCTATGGTAACAAGGTGGATGCCACGCTATGACCAAAGCAAGCGCTGGTCAGCCAGTCACCTGCCCCACGCAGGTTTTTTAATTGATTGTTTATTTTTCAGAGAGAGAGGGTGCAAGTGAGCGAGGGACAGAGAGAGAGAAGGAGAGAGAGAGAGAAGGAGAGAATCCCACGAGGGGCGGCAGTGGGGAGGGGAAGGAGAGAGAGAGAAGCAGGGCTCACCTGAAGCCGAACTCGAACTCACGAACAGTGAGACCATGACCTGAGCTGAAGTCACATGCTTAACTGACTGAGCCTCCCAGGTGCTTCTGCCCTGATCAGTTTTTATCCTGGGGTCAGTGACTAATGGATGGTAATAGGAATGGCCCCTACCTCAGGAAGCTGAAGCTTGCTTTGGGTGTTAGAAGTCTCTGCCGGGTCTCCAGCTGGGCCTGTCCCCTTTGTGACTCACTCAAAGTACACCACCCCTCTCCTGCTGTCACCTCCATGACGCACCCAGGCTTTCAGCTCCCACACACAGTGCACCCGCCTCACCTGCCCATTTCCGTCAGGGACCTACTACCAGGCCACAGTTATGGTGGACGATGGCTCACCTTCCCTTAATTCCAATTTTAACCACTCCATCACCATGTCCTAGAGTCTTACTTCTCTCATTCTCTTGGCTGCGGCAATGGCCTCTTTAAATCCCTGACTTTGAAGGTCGGAACCCATTCTAATCCATCTACCCCTGCAGAATGCGGGGTCCACTTCAGAAGGACCCGGGGTTCTACCGTCTCTAGCTGTTGTCCAGGCTCCTTGGTCTGGCCCGCCTTATCTACCCAGTTCTGGTCCCCGAGCCTTTGCGTGCCCTGACCCCTTTCCTCTCTCCATCTCCATCCCCACATTGCCCCAAACCACATCCTCCTCCCTCCTCCAAGCCCTGCCGCTGAGCTACTCCACGCCTTCTCTGAATGCCCAGCCCACAGCACCCCTGGAGCCTGGCTTCTAGGGGAGTCCATGGCATCTGCCTGCTGGACGCTCCGTGTGGCATCTTGGAGCCCCTGCTCCTCCGTCAGATCAGTATGTCTTTGGAGATGAAGCCCCGGCTGTTTATTTCTTTGTGCACCCCCATGGTGCTCTGGCAGCTCTAAACCTTCCTGCATGTTGGAATCTCCCGAAGAGCTCTAAACACAATGCTCCAGAGCTCCCCTCCCCGCCCTCTACCCCCCGGAGCTAAATCACACACTACAGGTGGGGCACAAAGTCCCCAGGACATTCCAACACAGCCCAGGCTGAGGACCGCTGGCCTAGGACAAACAGTGCTTCCAGAACAGCTACCGTGTGCCTGCTGATAGCTGGTTGCAGGTTTAATTCTTACAAGGAGGCTGTGTTGTAGACATTCAACCGCCTCTTCTGCTCTCAGGTAAGGTCAGCCTCACATGACTGTTTCTGCCCCGGAGTAGGATGTGGTTAGATGCAGGGCATCTCGAGGTGAGGCTTCGTGGAAGAAGCTGGATGGAAAGGCAGGATGGGATGTTCCATATGGATCTGGAGTAGTGGGAGGCTGTGCCTGGCATAGGTGTGAAAGTGCACTGAATGATGGGACAAGGAGGGAGGGAGAAGGAAGGGGGCTGATGGGAAGGGAAGAGGTCGGTGCAGAAAGATAAGTCAGGAAACGTAAGAGTTGTTGCCACAAGGGGGGCCCTGGGACTTGAAGGCTTGTGAGGGATGCCTCTGAGGAACTCTACTGGCACCACGTGTCTGCCGGGGAGGACTTTCAGGAAAGGGGAATGATGCTGGGGAGCTCGGTCTCCTCACCAGTCCCTCCTGTGCATTTAAGGGCCCAGTCATTGAGGCTCTCCCTACAGAGTTCCTTGGGGTCCAGGGAGGGAATGAGGAGCAGAGGTTCCCACGAGTCCCAGCCCGGAGGTGGAAGAGACAGAGTGACCCTCTCTCCAGCATCTGAGAGCCCTCATGGCCTCCCCGCACTGCTAGGCAGCTCGCAGGTGGCCCTACTTGGGCCCCACAGAGAAGCCCCTGACTCTTCTGGAGGCCTGAGACAGCTAGGGAACCCCTCCCCAGGGGTGGGGCGTGCTGGGGAGCCCCCTTCCCTGTGCTGAGATTGGGACTAAGGTTTGGGTCTAACTCCGTTTCCCTCCACAAATCAGGCCACACTCTGATGTGTGGGTTTATTCGCCCAAAACCAAAACCCAACCGCCAAGGCCAAGGGATCGGCATTCTTGGTCTCATCCCCCATTCTGTCCCTAGAGACGTCCGTGGAAGGACTCTTTCCCTTCCCTACCTCCACCCAGGAGCCAGGTAAAGAGGTGGCAAATAATACAGAATTTGATTGCCCGTGCAAACCCACCGTGAAATATTTATGAAGCATGACTTGAATAATTAATAGTTTCCCACAATTTTAAAACATGTCTCAGTATCATCTGCTCCTAGCCAGCCACTGCAAGAGCCAACAGGGATTACTCCCTTCCATCCCTTCTAGAACCCCACCCACAGGCTGCCAGAGAGCCTCTTCTTCCCACCTTGCGTCCACCCCCATCTATCTTAACCTGCCTCGTTTTTTACTTTATCTCCAGGCCCACCCTTGCCTCGCACAGTGCCCTCTTTCCCTTCCAGACAGCGGGGCAAAGGCACCGTGTGTGGGAGGTGACCCCAAGCCACAGGACTGGAAAACCAGCAGGCACCTTTGAGATAACTATGTTTTGACACAGCTCCCTGATTTTATGATCAGAGTGGTTACATGATTTGTCCAGAGTCACACAGTATGATCTGGGCAGAGCTGTTCTCTGCTCTTTCTGTGGCCTCATCCCAGCCTGCGCCCCGGTCTCCCTTCGAGCCAGCAGCAGCGCCAGAATGAGGGGTTCCCTAGTATTGTGGGTGCCAGGGGGATGGCAGGTTCATGATCTGCAGGGACCTGGTAGGCAGATGGGCCCCACATGTGGGTGGACACTGGGCGCAGTGGTCAGCAAGTGTCCCCGCGTGTCCCTGGGCACATGCCAGCTTCACTGGGGCTTCTCCCCTCCTCCCGAGGTGTTATGGATTGAGGCCTCTCCTGGGGAGGTTGCCTGCAGGGTGGGAGCCCAGTAGGTTCAACTTTTGGTGCAGAATTCTTGAAGGGGCAGGGGAGAGAGAAATCTTCATTTAAATGCAGATACAGGCTTCTCACCTGGGACTGAGGAAAGTTTTTTCCATTAAAATGCTAATGAAAGAGCAAACCAGCAACTCCAAATCCTCTGCTCACAGGTGCCCCCTCCTCTCTATCCTCACTCAATCCCCTGACCCTTCTTCTGGGTATTTGGACAGCTCTCTGAACAGGCCTATGGAAGGAGCAGGTCACCTTCCCGAAAGCACCTGAGACCGGAGAGTGCTGGGGAACTAGAGCTCTGGAGTCAGATCTCAGATGTGCCACGTTTTAGCTGTATGACCTCGGGAACTTTACTTAACATCTCTGAATATTTTCTGTAAAATAGGTAATAGTACCTACCTTATAGAATTGACTGAGCAAATAAATTATGTAGAGACAGATGAAGATATAAAGCCTGCCAGTTAAAACATCAGCGCATAGCAGCTGTCATTGCTATTATGAACATAGAGGTGTAAACTTTCAGGGTCAAGAACGTCGCTTACCCACACAAGCTCAATAAAATCTTCATGGGCTCTTTGGGAGGTCACCATTACAGAGGAGTCCAGAAGGCAGCTCCAGGGAGCGGGGTGCTGCCTCTTCAGACCCCGCCCCAGTTGTGTCTCAGGCCAGATCCTTTCCTACACAGACGCTGACTCTCTCGGACCTGAAGCCCAAACGGGGACCCATGTCAGGGGGCACCCAAGTGACCATCACGGGCACCAACCTGAACGCGGGCAGCAATGTGGTGGTGATGTTCGGGAAGCAGCCTTGCCTCTTCCACAGGTAACTCAGCTCAAGACAGGCCTCGGGGGCTCACAGCCCAGCGCATGGGGCCGGTGGGGCTGCCTCAGGGCAGCAGACGACCAGGGCTAGCCTCTTGGAAGTGCCTTCTCCTCCCTGAGAAAGCGGCCGTTCCCTTTGAGGGAGGGTTTGATGGGCATCCCTGGCTCTGGATGGTTTTGCCTTGGTCTGGAGAACTGCCAGGCATCCCATTCATGCTGTTGCCCACGATTTAGCCTTTGTGCCCCTATACCGACCCCAGTACAGAACCCTTCGGGTTCCGCAGGACTCACTTGGGAATCTAGGGCCTCTGCCTGCAGGTTAGCCTCTCTCCAGCTGCTGCAGAGCTGGCTGGGCCTGCTGAGGTTTGCTAGGGGCCCCTACCCCAGCTGGCTTAGGTTCAACCTCCAAGGGCAGCAGACTTTCTCTCCCCTGATTCCACCATCCAGCCCAGAAGGACACACCTTCCATAAGCCGGGAGCCTGGGGTATAAGAGGGGAGCAGGAAGTTCGTCTTGATACAGGACTCAGATTTGGTGGGGATATGACATTCTGCAGGAGAGGTTTTCCTGGGACAGAACTATGCTGAGGGCTGTGGCAGCTCTGAAGTCAGGCCAGTGATCAAGAAAACATGGTTCTGACACTTGCTAACATGGTAAGGAAGCGTTTACTCAGGAATTATTGCAATAGGTGTCAAGAGTATCACAATGGGGAAAGAAAGTAAGCAGATTTGACTCCAAATACAGCAATGACATGGGGGGATTTATGGCCAACCAGCAGAGTGAGGGCGTCAGTGATGGGATTTTACTAAGAGGAAGCAAGAATAGGAAGGTTCTTGCTAAGCAGCCTTAACAGGATTCTTGCCGAAGGCAGCCCAGGGTACTCAGGTATCAACTGGAGGGGCGTGGGGAGTTTGGACTTAGCAGGATTCTTGCTAAAAATGGGGCTTTGATAGACCCAGGACAGGGCCCAGGGATAAGGCCTCACTGAAAAGAGGGCTCAGAGGAACCTGTCTACAGTTGGGTCAAGTCTTTGTCAGTAATGCCTGGAGCTTTCTGTCTGAGGCAGCGCTGACCTATTGTCCCTGAGAAGCCTGACGAACGGGGAGGGTTGGGCGGGCCCTGACCTGGACCACTGTCCCCATCCACACCCGGAGCCCAGCTCCATACCTGCCCTCCCTGCAGACGCTCTCCGTCCTACATCGTCTGCAACACCACGTCCTCAGATGAGGTGCTGGAAATGAAGGTGATGGTGCAAGTGGACAAGGCCAGTATCCACCAGGACCTGTTCTTCCAGTACGTGGAGGACCCCACCATCGTGCGGATCGAGCCAGAGTGGAGCATAGTCAGGTAGGGGCGGCCCTGACCTCGGTTTTCCCTCCTCAACTCTCAGGAGCCAAGGACAGTTCTGGGGCCCAGTTCTGCTTTGAGGACTGATGAACTTGGGTTGATTCAGAGCACCCTCCCCAATCAGACCTTCCTTCCAGGGCACCCTCCTTCCCCCGAGAACGCCTCTGAATGGGACCTGGCCCCGGAGGCCAAGCTCTGACTGGCAAGAGCCATTGACCCCTAATCTGAGCATTGGTGGGTACACCCAGAGGAAATGATCCCATCACAGTGACTGCTAAGGGGTGCCAGTCCTGTTCCTTCGAACCTTCCTTCTGGCAAATATGATGATAATTCCAACCCTGCTGAGGGATGCAGGAGAAAGAGTGAGATCAGATCCAGCTTCTTCTTGGCCTGCTCCTGAGCAAAAATGTGCCCTGACCACCAGGGTGCAATTCAGATGTCTGTCCTCTGGGCTTCTGTAGCAACCAGCCATCTCTCTGGCCTGCTCTGTCATGACCCCTCGTTGTGTGCTTGATTTGACCTTCCCTCTACTGCAGGCTCCTCAAGGGCAGCGAGTGGACCTTGTTCCCTCCTCTTTTCCCCTTTTCCTGAGGGCCCAACACAAGTATAGAGAGCGCATGTCCCAGGAGGGAGCCGGGTATATGCTGGTATAGCAAGACCCTCCATGGCCACCTCTTCCTCAGCCATTCGCAAGCTGACCTGTGACAGCTGCATAACTTCCCAGGCTTCCCCTGGAGAGATTCACTGGGGACTTTGGAAACTCTGGGATCCCTGGGGGCCTCCCCAGTCCCCGCTTGGTAGGGCTGTGGAGTGTGGCATCTCCCTTCAGGTAGGGAGCACCTTTCCAGTCCCTGGAGGATACATTGTAATGGGAAGGCGATGCTAAGGGCATCCTGACACCAAGGGCCCTGCTGACCATTGGGAAACTGCTGTATCAGGGGCCGAGGGAGAATGGAACAGGGCTTGCGGTCAGAAGGAGTGGACTCAGACCAGCTCTACGTCAAACCAGCCAAAGTAACCAATCACCTTAAAGTGTACTTAACTTCTCTGACCTCATGGTTTCTCATCTATCAACTCCCTCCTGTGGCACTGGGAGGGGTAAGCAGAATGCATATGCACAGAGTAGTGCCTAGCCCAGCTCTCTCCCGCTGCCCCTGGCCCACTCCTTAGCCCTCCCCACCGTCGGCTTCAGTTCTAGAGGTATCTGGCATCCAGGGAAGGGGGAAAGCATGGAGATGTGGTCTCCACAGCTGAAGCAGGGGTCAGGGATGAGTCCAGTCCAGAGAGCAATCTTTTACACCAGGGGTGAGCAAACTCCAACCTGGGGACCAGATCTGGCCATCTGCCTCCTTTTGTAAATAAAGTTTTATTGGAACACAGCCATACTCATTCATATATGTTTTGTCTATAGCTGCTTTCTGAACACAACAGCAGAGATGAGTAATTGCAACAGACCATATGGCCCGGGAAGCCTAAAATATTTACTCTCTGGCCCTTTCCAGGAAAGTTTGCCACCCCCCGTCTTTCACCCACAAAAGGCAGCCCTTGCTGAGATCAGATTTGGTTGTCCTCAGCAGTTACTCCTAAGACCCAAACTATAAGCTTTAGCCACGATTTTAAAGTAGTTGAATACGAGGCACAAAGAAGGGGAAAATAGTCTGTAGAAAGCTTTTCTGGGATTTGCCCCCTGGCACTTGGGAACTCTAGGAAGTCGGTGTAGCCCTTTGCCTAGACACATTCTACAGCTCCCTAAGGAATTCACAGTCTGGCTTAATTCAGTTCTTCCTCATGTCATTGTCACAGAAATAGAGGTGTCGTCCTTCCTGGCACTCAGTAGCGGACCCTGAGTCACGTTCCTAACAAGAGGGAGGTTGGAGGCACGTTTGGGGCCTGCCAGCCGGCTCTAGAGTTTTTGCTGCAGTGAACAAATTCTCTGGTGGGGTGGGGCTCTGCAGAGTGAGGCTTTGCATTGCTCACAAGAGTCTGGGCTTAAGTATCAGGGATAGGGGGTGGGGTCCGTTCGTAAACTCGTGCTGAATTGGTGATGTAGAAAATTGGGAGATGGCCAGATAGCAGAATCTCATTGTGGAACACTGCCATGGGCAGAAGAGCCTGTCTGGGTTTTACAGGACTCTTCCAGCATGCATGTGCATGTGTGTGTATGTGCATGCTTGTGTGTGTGCATGTGTTGGGTGGGTGGGGGGAGTGGGAGGGGCAGGTGGAGGGCAAAAGGAAGCCAGGGAGTAACTGGGAGTGCAGGGATGGGCAGACACATAGAGAGGTAGAAATGAATGCGGGTGAGAGATTCTTTATTCACCAAGCTCATAACTGTTTCAGATGAAATTGTAGTAATTTCTGGGGAGGAGACTGTGGTCAGACCCTGAAGGGTCCGGCGGGGGGCATCTTGGAGCACGGCTCTCATTAGGCTAAAGCCAGTGTGAAAATCTCCCTGAGACTGGTGAGGGCTGGGGCAGAGACACCAGGGGGCTGCAGAGAAACATCTGACTCAGGTCAGGAGGCTTCAGAGCCTCCACGGGTGTCCAAGCTCTAGATGAGCTCAGTGCTGGACAGCCACAGACATCTGGTTATCACTGTCGTCCCCTTGGCTGCTGAGAGCTCGTCCTTATTATTATTCAGTCAGTTTGTCATCGTTGTCCCTGTGAACATTATCACGCCTCCTGGTTATCATTGTCTTTAATGTCAGAGCTCAGCCTGATTGATCATCGTCATCATCTTCAAGTGCCATTGCTATTCCTGTCCCTGTGTTGACACGCCTCCTTCTTTCTTCCCCGGGCAGTGGAAACACACCCATCGCCGTATGGGGGACTCACCTGGACCTCATACAGAATCCCCAGATCCGTGCCAAGCATGGAGGGAAGGAGCACATCAATGTGAGTCAAGGGTGGGCAGGGGGCATGGGGGCTGCCCACTCAACATGTCCCAAAAGGATAAGTACTCAGGCAGGCCACCCAGACACCGATGAACCATTGCATGTGACACCCTGGAGCAGTGGGACGATGGGACGAGGGAGCAGACGTGAGGGCATTTTCATACTTTGGGGTACAGGCATGGGCTTCTGGGCTCCACCTTTCAGACCTGTAGCACTGCCCCTTAGCTTAGAGATCCCCCCAGTCACTGCCACACCCGCTGTGGACAAAGTGGAGCTCGATGCCAGCTTCCGAGTTTACTGCTTGAGTACCCAGGTTGTAGGGTCCTGGGTGCAGAGGGGTGGTGAGCCACGCCAACGCCATGCTGTATGATGGTGCTGGGGGACCCTGGTGGGTGTGTTAGGGCTGTATGGGCTCTGGTGCCGCATAAGTCCCCCTTTCTGGCTGCTCCAGCTCTGTGAGGTCCTGAATGCCACTGAGATGACTTGCCAGGCTCCGGCCCTCGCCCTGGGGCCCGACCACCAGTCTGACCTGACCGAGAGGCCTGAAGAGTTTGGCTTCATCCTGGACAATGTCCAGTCCCTGTTAATCCTCAACAAGACCAACTTCACCTACTATCCCAACCCTGTGTTTGAGGCCTTCGGACCCTCAGGAATCCTGGAGCTCAAACCTGGCACTCCCATCATCCTGAAGGTAGAGTGAGGCGGTGGGCAGAGGTGGGAAGCGAGGAGGCTGTTGCCTGGAAAGGGGAGGCTTTTCGTGTCACAGAGAAAGGCCAGAAGTCGGGGGCTCTGGCCCAATTTCATGACTGCCATCGCTAGCAGAGGTTGTTGCATGGGTAGCAAATTAATTTTAACTCCGGTGACAATTTGAATCAACTGGTACTGATTGACTGTAGCTCTGTGTTGAGAAGGATTCTGAGGCTACGTCCGGATGAGCTGAAAAGAGTGCCCTGATTATGATTCCCCACCGAATCACGGGGAATGGCAGTGTATGTTTCACAAAGCTCTCGGACTTATTATGGAAGGTGGCCCCTCCCCCAGCTCATCAGCAGGACGGGAGCTCTGGGAGGGAGACGAGGCAGCCAGCCAGTAGCTATGGTCCTGACTGGGGTGGGAACTGGGGCGTTCCTGTCCCTCCAGGGCAAGAACCTGATCCCACCGGTGGCTGGGGGCAATGTGAAGCTCAACTACACCGTGCTGGTTGGGGAGAAGCCGTGCGCTGTGACCGTGTCGGATGTGCAGCTGCTCTGTGAGTCCCCCAACCTCATCGGCAGGCACAAAGTGATGGTAAGGCCCGCGGGGCGCCGATCTGGATGGGGCGGGCACTCAGGGATGCCCGAGGGTGTGCGGACCAGTGCCATCCTGGGAGGCCAGGGCTTCCCAGGAGGGATTCTAGCCCTCTTGGAACTTGCTTCATAGCCACCCCTCACCCCCTTGTTCTTTCTCTCTGTCACGCTTCCGGCCTCCCTTTTGTGCGTTGTCATTCTCTCCTGACTCCGATGCTACAATAAAGGCAATGCAAACAGCTTTAAGGACATGCTGCATGGCCTGTCACAGGCCAGAGACCCTTCCAGGAGAGCCCGCTGCTGGCCCGACGAAGTCCATAATATCATGCTCTGTGTCTCGGTTTTCCATCCTTATGATGGGATGAATCTCAGGGAGCCCATCATTGAAGACACGTCAGACTTATTTAGGGCCCAGTTGTGTGCTGTTTCCTTACGAAGATGACAGCATTAGTCCTGAGTGAGGGAATGTGCAGCCTCCCATCTGTGGGGGTGGCCTGCTCTGAGCCATCCGTACCCATCCCCAGGCCCCCACACATCCTCTCCTCTGTTTTGACAACCAGTGATGGTTTTCCTCTCTGGAGCCCTTTCCCTCCTCCTGCCCCGTAGCCAGTTCATCGCCAGCCTGGGGCTGCTTCCCTGCACTGCTCTGGGGCCGCTCCCAGCTTCCTCTCCCATGCTGTGCCCCCAGGCCCGTGTCGGTGGCATGGAGTACTCCCCAGGAATGGTGTACGTGGCCCCAGACAGCCCGCTCAGCCTGCCCGCCATCGTCAGCATCGCCGTAGCAGGTGGCCTCCTGGTCATCTTCATCGTGGCCGTCCTCATCGCCTACAAACGCAAGTCCCGCGAAAGTGACCTCACGCTGAAGCGGCTGCAGATGCAAATGGACAACCTGGAGTCGCGGGTGGCCCTGGAGTGCAAAGAAGGTACTGGGGGACCCGGGACCGTCGCCCCACCCCCACCCCGGGGCTGTGCGCCTGTGCTTCACACAGGGCCGCGAGCTGGCCACCTGCGGGCAGCGCTGGGGGGGGGCCTGGTGTCTAACCTCTAACTCTGCTCTCTGAGCCTGTATCCATACAGAACCCTTAGCCCAGCACCCCACCCCTTCCCGGGTGAGGCCACCCTCCCCTTCCTCGATGTGTCCCCTTCCCGCTTTCCCCAGGTCAGGCTGGGATCATTCTAAACCCACGAGAGCAGTTTCCAGCCCAGAATCCTGGCTGCGGGGGTTTTATGCTCTCCTCTCTGGGACACCTTGGGGTGTCTTGACATGACGCATCCAGCAACCTTCAGCTCCCTTCCTTTAGGAGGAAGTTATGGCTATAGGGCTGATTTGAGATGTAGAAGGAAGAGGGCTTCACAGCCTGTATGATTAAAAATTACCACCACCACCATGATGTGAAATCAGTTGCACTAAATCCAAGAAGGATATTTAGAAGTCAGACTCTTGTTGCCCGCAGGGTATCATTTTGTGAGTCACCCTGGGAGGGTCTGAGTGGATTCTTTGCCATGGATTTATTCTCCGAGTCAATCCGGCCTGTACCCGGGGCTCTCCCAGCCCCACCAGGGAGGCTGCGACTCCCTCTGATGGGGAAGTGGGTCTGTCCCATCCCCTCAGTACATCCTTAGCTGTCAACACTGGCATCTGCCTTGTGGGACTGTTAATTACTGCCTTTTATTATATTTACGCTGCTTAATTTTTTTCTCCGCAATGTACTCTTCCCTCTAATTAGGTGTAGTGATTAGAATCTCTTTTATGTGTGGCAGGCACAAGGCTTTGAATGTTGGAGGCGCTTAGTGACTTGAAGGAAAGCTGCAGACCAATAAAAAAGACCACCCCCCTCCTTCTCCTTGCCGCCAGCTGAGCACCCCCAATGGGGAGGGGGCAGAGAGGGGAACGTGAAGCCAGGTTCCTCTCAGAATGTTCTGGAGAAGGAGGAATTAGCAGTCAGACAGGGAGTCCAGCCGAAGAGTGTCAGTGGAGGTGTCTGGAGAGAGCCTTGGCTTCTGGCTCTGGAGAGAGCTCTCCTGCGTGAGCGAGGAGAGAGAGGTGTAGAGCAAAGTATAGGGAGATTAGCCATGAAAGTCTTTGTCAGGGGTGCCCAGAGCTGGCTCTCAAACATGCAAGGGGCAGCTTGGGTCCGGGGAAGGTGACTCCCTAAAGACTTGACAGTAAGCCAGGATGTCACCCACACCCAAAACCATGCCCTCTCTGCACTGGCCTGGCCTCTTGATACATCAACGCACACACTTGTGCATATGTGGCCACAAAAACTCACTGACATGCACACTCACAGGCAGTCACTCATGCACTCACACACACACACTCACACTAATACCCACGCACACATTACACGCATTACTGCAACACACACGTGTTCCTTAGTACATACATGAATGTTCACCAGTGCTTTCTGTGACAGTATGTGCCAAAAGTCTTACCAAGCCCTCTTCATACACACGTGTGCACACATGTTGGTGTGAGTTCTACTTGGATGCATTACGGTTGCTCTGCCTTCGAAGTCATTTGCCTTAGCGGGGCCCTCCTGTGTCAGTGTGACTGGGCGTGTGGACAGAGAGCAGCGCAGGAGAGGTCTGTCTGCAGCAGCCTCCCCAGGGGCCCGGGGACTGTGTTCATTGTCCTGTCAAATGAGGAGCATTGCTATCCTCAAGGCCCGGAAACTCAAGATCCGTCGGCCAAGTTGGCACTGTGGGGTGCAGAGGGCACGGGCCTGGGGCAGCCATATTGTGTTTCTGTGATCAGCAGAGCCCACAGAATACTTTTTCCCTATTCTTATATTTGTAAAATCTTAAGAAGTATTGTTTCATCGGTGCCCACTGGCTGTGTTAATCCATGCTGGTTGTGTGTGAAAGTGCATGTGTGCCATGCGTGCATGTGAGTACATGTGCATGTGCCCAGGAGAAAGGCAGAGAAGGGGAGGGTCCGGCACACCATTTCTGATGGCCTCCCAGGGCAGAGGGTAGCCAGGGAGGAGGGCTATGCTCAGGATAGGGTGTGGCCACAGCTTTGGCGCTGTGTGACCACCTGGGCTGTGTGCTAGACTTTCTTAGGGGCTGGAAGGAAAAAGGTCTTGCAGCCCCATCACCATCTGGAGGCCTGAGCTGCCTCCACAGACAGCAGTGCCCACGCACAGGTCATAGTTCACCACTGAGTGGCATCATGGAAAGAGTACATAGTGTGGCAGAGCCTGGGCCCCACTGGATGGTCTGATGGCTCCAGTGAGCTGCATGGCCGAGAACTCGGACTGCAGAAGAAATTGTTCTTAACTTTTATAAGAAAGCCCACTAGAAAATGCAGAATTGGGAATAGACCCTCCACCCCTGGAACCTCTCCCCTCCTTCTCCCTGTCCCTTGACGTCCCCCTAACCCCCAGCATATTCTGTAAACCAAAACGATTCAGGCCCCAGCAGCAGGACAAGTCTATGGACAGCCCATGCCCATCCATGCTTTGGAAGGGATTTGGCCCAAAACAAGCTTCCTTGTGCTACATCTATCTCCCCTTCCTATATCATCTACCCCAGCTACTTAAAACATCCCACGTTATTCCTGCACACCTACAGCCCATTGCCCGTGTCTCCTAGGGGCGTGGGTGAGGGTTCTGAGCATCAGACCCAGGACCCACCCCAGCCAGCAGTCTCACGGGCTTCCCTTTGTACCAGCTTTTGCCGAGCTACAGACGGACATCCATGAGCTGACCAGTGACCTGGACGGAGCTGGGATCCCCTTCCTAGACTACAGAACCTATACCATGCGGGTGCTGTTCCCAGGGATTGAAGACCACCCTGTGCTCCGGGACCTCGAGGTGAGAAGTAGGGCTTGTAACCAAGCCTTCCCCATCAAGGTGTTAGTGCAGAGAAGAGTGTTGGTGACCTTCACATGCAGCCATGTCATTCGGAGGTGAGAAAGCTGAGGCCAGGGAGGGGACGTGACTTGCCCAAGGCTTCCCCTCACCCCTGTTTGTCAGTGCCAGCCACCCCATCCCTCTGGAGGAAATGGGGCCGAGCCAGGGAGCCATCTGAGCAGAGATGGGAGTAGATTTGGGTTCTAGGGGTCATGGCGCCCTTGAGAATTGAATGGAGGTTGAAGAAAAACCATACATATACATGCAAACAAGAAATCTGGCAGCCAATGTAGCGAGTTCATGGACTCCTGTTTAGGAAACTACCATGAAGTAAGGGATTTCACCACATAGTCGGTGCTCAATAAATATGTGTAGAAACAATAAGTGATATGCTGGGAAGGGAGGTGGAAGCATGAATGATAAGAATAGAACTATCTTTTGTACCAGCAGGACCCCATTTTGAACACTTTATCACTTCCTGTCTAGCATAGTATCTGGCTTATGCATATATTCATACTATGCTTTGTTCCGAAAGGGATTTCAGATGACTTATCAAGATAAATACCAGAGAAGAGTGAAAAATATAAATGAGGAAACCAGAGCAAAATAATAATCCTAAGGAATAATCGTTGCTACTGGACTGTCAACTGAGCTCCTGGTCCGGTTTTGAGTACCTCATATGTGTGTGTGTGGATTTACTATCTCACAAGCGGTCTGAAGAATAAGGGCCCAGAGAGCTCTGGGGCCACACAGCTGGGAGGGGGTGGTGCCAGGATTTGAGTCCTGGAGTTAGACCTCAGGGCCTGTGCTCCCAACAATGAGCCTTTGCATGTCACTGTTGTGGCTTTGGGCTCTGGATACCTATTAGGACGGATCAAAAATCTCTAGGCAAAGCAGCAGCAGAGAATAAGGCTAATTCCAAGATTTATCTCGTGCATCACATAACAGACGCATCGCTTGTGGGTTGCACCGTTTTGCAGGTACTGACCCCTGTGGGAATGTCTACACAGTGGTCCAAAGGGGTGTAGAGGCTGTGCGTTTCTATGGAAAACAAAGCAAGTCCCAGGGACTTTGGGGCCCACATGCATTTCTCCATAATTGTTGAATAAAGTGTGTGCCTCTGTGTGTGTGTGTGTGTGTGTGTGTGTGCACACGCATGTGCACGCTTCTATAGTGAGGGAACAGTCGCTTCTGTCTGGAGGAGGGTCCCGTTGGCTCCTCAGTAGACAGGTACCAGGAGGCACTTCCTGAAGCCATCAGTGGTAGGCTCTGTGTCCTCACTGATGACGCACCTCTCCCTCCGTGTGCACGTCTGCTTGTGTGTATACGTGTATAAGGTATACAGGTGTGTCATGTAAACAAATGAAAAAATCATCTATACCATGATATGCTCTTCATTTTCTCGGTCTCTTTTTTTCTGAGTGAAAATTATCTTGTTTATTGATGTGCTTGCTTATTTACAGTTCATATCTCTGTAACCCCCTGCCCCCACATATGCCACATGAGAGCAGTAACCATGCTTATTTTATAGACATTAATACCAGGACACCAGGTGGCACCAATTTGGTGAATAAAAGAAGTCACTCTTTAGCCTAAGACATACATATAAAATTCACAATTGTTTATGAAGTTAAAGCATCACACCTATGAACTGACATTAAAAAAGAATGTAGGTCTTAGATCTAGTACAATAAATGATTATAGTTGACATATGGCTTTGGTAAGTTAACAAATAATTGTTTTAAAATATCATTTGGGGGGTGCCTGGGTGGCTCAGTTGGTTAAGAGGCCAGCTTCGCTCAGGTCATGATCTCACAGTTTGTGGGTTCGAGCCCCGTGTCAGGCTCTGTGCTGCCAACTCAGAGGCTGGAGCCTGGTTCAGATTCTGTGTCTCCCTCTCTCTGCCCCTCCCCAACTCATGCTGTCTTTCTCTGTCAAAAGTAAATAAATGTTAAAAAAAAATTAAAACTAATATCATTTGGGGGCACCTGGGTGGCTTAGTTGGTTGAGCATCCGATTTCTTTTTTTAATCCAACATGTAGTGTAATAATGACTTCAAGAATAGAACTTAGTGATTCATTACTTATATATAACACTCAGTGCTCGTCCCAACAAGTGCCCTCCTTAATGTCCATCACCCATTTAGCCCTCCTCCCACCCAACACCCCTTCAGCAACCCTCAGTTTGTTCTCTGTATTTAAGAGTCTCCTATGGTTTGTCTCCCTTTCTGTTTTTATCTTATTTTTGCTTCCCTTCCCCTATGTCCATCTGTTGAGTTTCTTAAATTCTGCATATGAGCAAAATCCTATGATATTTGTCCTTCTCTGTCTGGGTCTCCCTTTTCATGCCTGTGCCCCTATGCTTCTTCCAGCCTCATTTTTACCTGCTTCAAAATACTAGGGTGTTAGTCCACTGAAAAGTACGCACTTTCCATGTTTACTTGCATCTCCGGGAATTCTCAGATTCTCAAGTCTAGCCTGGCACGAGTTTAACACACACACTAGGGCAGTACATTCCCAAGGACTGCCCAAGGTGGTAGCAGAAGAGTTATAGGGCTCATTCTCCCACAGGATCTCATGGACAGTTGTGCATGTTGAACACTGTAGTGCTCCAGATGGCATCATTCATATGCGGCACCTTTAGGGTTGTTCAGTGCACAAGCTGCTTTACCGTCTATAGCAGCCCTGTTTACCTAGGACCAGAATACAAGGGATTCCCTCTCATTGTCCTTCTGAATCGTACTAGGCCCCTCGCTGAAAGCTGTTGAGAGTCCCTACCCAGCTGTACATCTCCAGGCTTCCCTCTAAGGTCTGTTTCTGGTGAGAAGCAAGATGGGTACTGCTACCCATTCCTAGCCTGATTCTTCAGTGAGGCACACAGCCAGGAACCCAACTCAGCAAGCCAGGCTCTACAAACAGAATCCCCGAGCACCCTCACCCCTGCCCTCAGAGCCTGGCAGGGAGCCAGCTCCCTGCCTCACGGCACTGCCCTGGCCCCTGCCTTGCTCCCCGACATGTCACACATCCCTAAACAGAGGCATCTGGGGCAGCAAACTCCATTCTCTGCCAGGAAACCACAAGAGCCCTTGTTCAGCACAGTCTCAGAGGCTCATAACTTCTTCACTTCACAATGACACCGCCCACCACGTGGCCTGGACACACACAAGGGCACCCCCAGGAATCACTGACTCCCCTCCTCCATCCCTCACAAATGTCAGATGAACCCCGCCCTGGGAGGGCTGCAGAGGACTCTTAGAATCAGAGCTGCCTGCTGGGCTGTAATCACCTGAGATGCTCTCTGGGTGGATACCCCACCCCCACCCCAGACAGTTCCGATGTCCCCATTATAAATCACATCACGTCCCTCCATGGCCTTATTCCTCATCTGGCACATTTACGTTTCCCCTCCAACCTGAGTCTTCTCTCTTCTTCCTTGCCTTTACCATGAGGGGACACTTGTAGCCCCCACCCTCCAGCTCACGAAGGAGTTAACGGCCACCTGCCCCCACTTCCTGAGTTGGAGCCCACACAGGTTGGCTCACAGTCCCGCACAGGCTCTGCATCAAACAGGTCACACGGCTCTTCTTTGTTTGAATTGTGGTAAGATAGGCATGACATCAAGTTTACTATGTCAACCATTTTTACATGTTCAGGGTCATTAAGTACATTCACGCTGTGGTACAACCGCGCCCCCCCCCCCATTCATCCCGAGGATGTTTTCATCTTCCCCAAATGAGACTCTGTACCCATTAAACATCACTTCCCATTTGCCCTCCCCTAGAATCCCCCATTTGACTTTCTGTCTCTATGAATTTGGCTTCTCAGGGTCCCTCGTGTTCAGTGGAAACATACAGGATTTATCCTTTGGGGACCGGTTTATTTCATGTAGCAAAATGTTTTCAAGGTTCATCCATACTGTGGCATGTGATAGAATTTCTTTTCTTTTTAAGGCTGAATAATAGTCCGTTATGTGTAGAGACCACATTTTGTTTCTCCATCCACCTGTCAACAGACATGTGGGTCGCTTCCACCTTTTGGCTGTTGTGACTAATGCTGCTAAGAACGTGGGTGTACAAGTGCCTGTTGGAGCTCCTGGCCCTAATCTTTGGGTGTATGCTCAGAACGTATGACTTTTCATTTCTGTTAAACTCTCTAATTAATGGACAGAAATCAACGTTTACCATCCCACGTGGTATATGAGCTCCATATGACCGACATCCTATGCAAGACCCTGGGATTTTGCCTGGATTCTTCTTTTCTGGTTTGTTTCCAACCCTGCCTTGCCATTGGAAAAGTTTCTCCCTGTCGGCTTTCCAAGTATGGAAATATTCCCCAGGAAGCCATTGATAACCCAAAGCCATGTTTCTCGACCTTTTCAGCTACTGGGATAGGTGCTCACTGGTTGGGCATAGTGGTAGATGTGTGTGAAGAAGGGGGTGTCCTCAGGCTTTGTCCATCCTGGACGTAGCCCTGGGTGAAGGGGTGGCATGTGGGTAAGGGGCTGCCCATGCACTGGGGACACACCAATCCTTTAAAACCAGAGAGCAAATGGTAACCACATACCCCATTTTCAACCTGTCCTTGTCTCCTAAACTCTAACCTGTTAGCTTACAATTAAAATTTACTATCCAGTTTTATACTCATAAGCTTCAACTAAATTATCGAACCATCTGGTGAATAAAGAAAGTCTTGTTTCAGAGTGACATTTGCTTAGGGAGTTGGTGGGGGGGGGTGGCAAGTTACAAAGGGGAATTGTGCTGGATACTCTACCAAGATACTTCATACTTCACTTCCATCTCCCCCTTCATCAAATGGGGAGAAAATTCCTACCTTCTCCCCCCACCCCCCAACTCCCCCCAGACACTGGGCTGATGCCTTCGATGTCTTGGAAACTTCTGGGCAAGAAGGATAGGTGAAAAGCAGCGAAATAGGAGAGGCAGGTAATAAAACTGCTGTTAAGTGCGTACTGTGTGTGCCAAGCACTTTACATACATTATCGTATTTAATGCTCATGAAACATTATGACATGGGCACTCATATTCTCATTTTACAGACAAGGCAGTAGAGCCCAGAGGTGACAGAGCATTCCTCCTTGTGTGAGTTCGTTAGTCTCTCTGACTCCAAACCCCACGCCACTGCCCAGGTTTACCCCACAGCTGGCTTTGCTAAACCTTTCCCAGGGTCCCAGGCCTTGGTGGCCAGGAGGCGTGTGTAGCCAAGGCAAGAAGTCCAGAGCACGTCCTCTCCCCAGACATGCCAGCTGGCCAGCCCTATGCCTTCCTCCTCCCTGTACCAAACCCAGACGTGGCTCCTCTGCCCTTGATGGCCAACCTGAGTTGCCAGGAGGCCCTATGCGGGAGGCTGAAGGGGAGACTCAGAGCTGGCTCTCGGTCACCTCCTAGGCTCAGCGGTAGGACTAGGTGTGGTGAAGGATGGGCAGAGGGATGGGGACCGGGGAGCCAGACAAGCTTGGGTTTGGAAATCCAGCACCATCCCACACCAGCTGGCTGGCCTTAGGAAGCCTACAGTACCTTCTCTGAGAGCCGTAGAGAGGACACACTCACTCTTGCAGGGTCCTTAGAAGGCTTAGATGGAGTGATGATTGTAGTGCCAGCACCGTGCACTGCACGTGCTGGTGCCTGGGAAATGGCATTATCTTTCAGTTGTAGAACAAGTTGTGGCCATGTTGCTCTGGCCGGGGGACCGGGGCGGGGATTATTGATGGACGGAGGAGGTAAAACGTGCACTTGTTTGTGAGACGCGAGGCGCGGTCACAGAGCACGGGGGGAGGTCGGCAGGGACACAGACGGCTGGGTAGATTGAGGCCAGGCTGAGGGCAAGGTGAGGCTGCCTCACATCCTTGTGTTTCCCCTGTGGAGAGGGAAATGGGGGGAGCCAGGTGGGATGCAGGCTGGGATTGGACCCACCTTGGGGAATGAGGAGTTGGCCAAGGGCAGCTGTGCAGAGAACTGGGACAATGTGGGGGGGGGGGGGGGGGGGGGCGGCTCTGGCGAGTTCCCAACTCTTTCCTGAGTACCGCCTTCCCACATGGCCTTCCAGAGGGGCCTCCTGCTGACCGTCCAAGGGCAGGCCTGGGCCTGACCCATCTCTGCCTCCCTCGAGGGCCTCACCCCGAGCCTGGAACACCGGGGAGCTCAGGAAGTGAGTGGCATGAACATTCCAGCTCTGTCTCTGCCACCTCCTGGGACCTTGGGCACACGGGATTTCTGCTGTCTCCCTCTTCCCAGAAGTCTAAAACTTCTAGAATAAAGTGGGATAAAACTGCTACCATTCAGTAAAGGCGACTGTGAGTCAGGCCCTGCACTGTCAAGGTTTTCACACATCTTCTTCTTCAGGGCTCCCACCAGCCCCCCACCCCCACCCTGAGATGGCAGGACGCAGTGCCGGCCGCCTGGGTGCCCATCCCGGCTCTGACACTTCTCTGTCCTCACTGTCGTGAGGCCCCGGGATAATAACAGTGCCCACTTCGTAGGGTGTCATGTGGCCTAGGGGTCAACATTTCTCAAGTATGTAGAGCGGGGCTCAGCAAAGTAAGGTCTACGGATGCATTAGCTGGAGTACCTTCATTTCGCCGTTGAAGGAATGGAGTCCTCTCAGGGTCCCCTAGTATATGGGACTAGTATATGGCTGTGACAGTGAACTCAAGCTTGCCCCTCCCCGCAACCCCAGTGTGCTCCACTGTTGCACACGAGACGCTCCTTCTCAAAGGCCCCTGCAGGGGCGATGCAGTCCCCCCCACGGCACTTCTCTTGAATGTCCCTGCTCCTCCAGCACCCCACACCACGACGGGTGCCCTGCTCTGTTCTCAGAGGGCTTCACCTTGAGGGCAGAGGCTCTGCTTTATTTGTTAAGCAACCTCCTCTTTTAATGAAAGAACGCCCGCAGAGCAGAGCGCAGCTTGTGGGAACACAGCTCAGTGCATTCTCCCTGAGAGCGTGGCCACCAGGCCGCGCGCAGAGCATGAAGCTGAACCGGCCCGGCCCTCCGCACGCATCCCCGGGTTCCCCCTCCCGGTCACCGCCACCCCCACCCCCGAGGAGAGCCATTTTCCTGCCACTGTTGTTTTCTTATTAATCATTATTTAAATGGTATTGTACGGTGCCCCCTCTTCTTCCTTTTTTTCACGCCGTATCTGCAAGATGCGTCCTGCTACCATGAGCGGTAGAAAGCCCTCCGCTCCCGTGGCTGTGTGGTTTCCCGCTGGGCTAATTCCCCGCACTTCCTGGAGCCCCTCGCTGTTGCCAGACATCTAGCTGATTCCGGTCTGGGGCCCTGACACGCAGAGCTGTGGGGCCCGCCTCGAGCATCGCAGAGATGCGTCCTCCATGCCCTGCCCAGTGGCTGGCTGGACGGTGCCTCCCTGCCGGCGTCTCCCGATGGACAGGAAGATGACACCTTCTTCCCCTTCTTCCTCCCGTTTCCGTGGGTGGAGCAGGGTCTCAGGGGAGTCTCTGAGAAAATACCAGATGCTAGAGTCTGTTGGGCTTAATCTTCCCCTTTCCCTGGGTGAATCACCTTGGGGCCCCAGAGAAGTTAAAGGACTTGCCAGAGGTCCCACGGGGTGGTGGTGTCAGAGCCTATGTGGACCCTGGCAGTCCTGACTCTGAGGCCACCGTTCTGTCAACAGAATCCACGTGGCCAGAGAAGGGTCAGCATGAGAGGAGCTGGGGAGTCAGGTGTGGGGACCCCTCCACCGCTGGAGGCCCCCCAGGGCTGTCTGTAACGCTCCTGTGCCCTGATGTAGGGCCCCTCGCCACCTCTGTGCTGCGTCAGGGAAGAGCTCACGCCCAGCAGCGGATTCAGATCCCAGCATTGTCATTCCTAAGGGTGCCCGTTCTCTCTGTGCCTCCCTTGATTCACCCCCACAGCAGCGGTAGTGGGCGGCCACGTGGGTTACGTAAATAGCTGACATGATGCCTTGTGCCAAGGTCCGCAGTGTGCAGCGCCCACCCCCTGGGGAGGACCCTCTGCCTCAGGCAGAGGGCCCGGCCTCAGGACTCCCCCTGGGGCGGGGCTCCTCTGCAGGTCCCCGGCTACCGGCAGGAGCGTGTGGAGAAGGGCCTGAAGCTCTTTGCCCAGCTCATCAACAACAAGGTGTTTCTGCTGTCCTTCATCCGCACCCTGGAGTCTCAGCGAAGCTTCTCCATGCGCGACCGCGGCAACGTGGCCTCCCTCATCATGACGGTGCTGCAGAGCAAGCTGGAGTACGCCACCGACGTGCTGAAGCAGCTGCTGGCCGACCTCATCGACAAGAACCTGGAGAGCAAGAACCACCCCAAGCTGCTGCTCAGGAGGTGAGGGCCGTGCCCAGCAGGTGGCAGGGGGTGGAGGTCAGAGGGAGCCCCTGGGCGGCCTGGGTCTTGTGCCTTCTTGGGAGACGGGGGTGGAGCTCCCAGAAGGAGCAGCCAAGTCCCCCAAGCTGAGGCACCAACCTGCCCAGAGACCAGGGCGCCTCCCCCCCCCCCACACCCTGTTGGAAGACCCTGTCCACCTTGGCCCGTCTGCTCACCATGCTGCTTCTCTTTTGCCCTCCAATTCCACTCTGCCTTCTCTCTGTGTCCTTACCCTTCCCTGATTATAGCCCTTTCTACTGGAATTCTTCTCTCGGGGAATCCTCAGAGGTCCCTTGCTCATCACCCCGGCCTTATCTGAATCAGAACATGAATTAGGAGAGATAGCCCAAGGCCCCTCTGGGGACCACCCTCACCATCTCAAGACTGGAAACTTTAGGGGCACCGGGGTGGCTCAGTCGGTTAAGTGTCCAACTCTTGATTTCGGTTCAGGTCATGATCTCACGGTTCATGAGTTGGAGCCCCGCTTTGGGCTCAGCGCGAACACCGCGGATCTTGCTTGGGATTCTCTCCTTCTCTCTGTGTGTCTCCCCTGCTCGCTCACTCTCTCGCTCTCTCTCTCTCTCTGTCTCTCTCTTGGTCTCGCTCTCTCTCTCAAAATAAATAAGTAAATGTTAAAAAAAAAAACAAAAGATTGGAAACTCTAGCCCCGGCCGCTCTCACCACTGTCCAGCACCAGCAGCGAAGCACCTGGGAGCTTGTCGGTAATGCAGAATCTCAGGGCCCAGCCCGCAACCCGCCGGATCAGAATCTGCATTCTGACGAGAACCCTAGGTGATCTGAAGGCACATGGGAATCTGAGAAGCACCAGTCCAGCCTGTGTTTGGACGAAAGCCCTTCAGTGGCCCCTTGCCTGACATAATGCACCAGGTGTTTCCTGGCACCTGCTGGAGACCCTCCAAGCGCCCAGGGGCACCACTACACCCCGATGGACGCCTCGTCCTTGACACTGTGGAGACCTGTGTTGTCACGTGTGACTGCAGAAGCCCTATCCTGTGGCTTCAGCTTTACAGGACTTAGAGGTTCTCCAACTCTATCCATGCTGGTGTTCACATTTTCCTCGTACCTGAAGGCCATTTCCTCTCTAGGCTGTCATTGCAGTGTCTTTAGCCTTCGTGTGGACAAAGCCGGGGAACTCTCGCATCCCTCTGCCTGGACCACCCCAGCAGCCGTCTGCCTCTGCCCGTCCTCTGCCTCCGTCCTGGGCATCCGGGTCTGAGGCAGGGCCCCCTGCTTGGTCCAGTGGCTAGATTTGGCTTCCAGAAGTGTTTCCTTCAGGCTTTTTCCTGGTGCCGTGGGCATTCGCCTGCACAGCTGCAAAAGGTTGCTACATTTCGGAGCAATCAGACAGCTTTGGAAACAGCAAGGTAGATCATTTTGATTTTTGTTTTACTTCCACCACGCAGCCACCCACCGGCATAATTCTAGGGTTGCGGCTGCCTGCCAGAGCTCCCACCGACAATTTCCCGGCGTGGCCTCGCTCTGGATCTGTGTGTCTCCCCTCTTGTTTTCCACTCACTCTGCTCCAGATGCCCTCTCGCCTTCTGCCCTCCTCCGTCTCCCTTTCTTCTCCTTGCCCTGGGCTGGCCCCCTCATTTCAGCAGACGTCTTGCTCTTCTCAGTTTCGTTTTTGTGCTGGCCGTTGCCTTGGGATCGGAGTTATTTGCATCTTTTGCCAAGTGCAGCTCCCAAGTCTATCCACACGTACCTGAATGGGCTGGTTTCTCCGTGGAGGAGGCCACACGCTTAGCCCGAGTTCGAATGGAGTTTGTTTTCTCTAAATGAATGCAACCAGAAGTGTCCTGGGGCTGTAACAAGGCAGCAGTGTCCTTTCCCTTCCAAAGTAAAAGGAGAAGCGGACTTGGGTGGCGGCACAAAGGATGAGGATTAGACTCAAGAAGGCACTTCCTGCCATCGCAAACAAAACACTAGCCAGGTCCCAGGGGAAGTTCCGAAGTAATTTGAAATAGGACCATGTTGGCATCTCTCGGGCTGAGCTCGGTATTAGCTCTAGGAGGCTTTAGCTTTAGGGGATGGGGTCATTCTGATCCATCGGGCTCTCGTCCCACGACCCACCTCTCCTGCCCCCTTCCTGTCTATCCTCTACCAAATTAGTATCTCCCTGAGTTTCGTGTGTTTCTCTTCTCCACCCAGAGGAAACCATAAAGTCTCTAAGCTTGCACTGTCCGATGTGGTGGCTACGGGCTACACGTGACCGTTCAAATGTAAATTAATTAAAGGTCGGCTCTTCAGCTACACTGGCCGCATTTTGGGGGCTCATTGGGCCCAGGTGGCGGGTGGCTACCACGCTGGACGGGACAGGGAGTACTTTCCTCACTGCAGAAAGTGCCAAGGGGCAGCTGGTCTAGCGCATTCCCACCAGATGTGTACCGGGGAGCCTGACCCCTGAATGTCATCTCCTGGTTCCTGTCTTATCATTACGGGGCATCTAGGAGGCCATGGAATCCAGCTGTTCTGTAGTACCTCGAGATGGGGCCCGAAAGCCGTAAGCCGCAAAACAGCAGAGTTGACCCCCTGCCCTCCCAGTCCTTGGGGTCTGACCGGCTGCTTCTGCGTTTGTCTTGCTCCCTTGGTTCCTTGGTGACTGGTGACAGGACTGAGTCTGTGGCTGAGAAGATGTTGACCAATTGGTTCACTTTCCTGCTCTACAAGTTCCTCAAGGTATGATTGGATGTGGGGGTATCTCTGGGGGTACCCCCCCGCCAGAGCCCTCCTGCCCCCAAGCCCACATTCCCCACGGCCTGGCTCTTAGAACCCCTCCAAGAAATGTGGTCCCCCTCACCACTGTCATTGTCCCCAACTGGGGGGGGGACCCCCTGACACTAGACAGAACCTCTGTCGGCCCTGGCGTGATACCATCCCCTGGGGCCACTTTCTCCCAGGTGAAGGGGAGATGAGAGCATTCTGCACGAGCCCTAAAGCCACATTCCCCTTGTAATCTCCAAACAATCCGCCCCTTATTTCCTTGCTTTCCCTCTCCCTCCCCTCCTACCTCTGCCAGCCCCCAACTCTCCCAGCCCCCAGGCCCATAAGGGTCCCAGGCTGGTCACTTGCAGCTGCGTGTGTGGGTAGAAGATGGAAGATCTGCTCCACTTCAATTATTACCTTGTTTTCGAACGGCTTGGTCCCACCAGGGACTGACCTCTGTCTCGTGATGGGCAGGGATGGAGTGGGGAGGGGAGGAGGAACAGAGAAGAGACAGGAGGCAGGGGAGGTGAAGAGGGAGAGGGTGGATGAGAGAAGACAGGTGGTCCAGAGAGCTAGGAGAAACACACGTCTGAAGGGGGAGTTGAAGCCAGAGAGAAGGACGGGGAGCGGGAGAGGATTGAGACGGGGGAGTGGAGAGCAGCCCTCCAGGGAACCGGGCTCCGGGAGGCTGGTCCGGAGTCCGCCCAGCACGGCTCTTCTCTGTGTCCAGGAGTGCGCCGGGGAGCCCCTCTTCTCGCTGTTCTGTGCCATCAAGCAGCAGATGGAGAAGGGGCCCATCGACGCCATCACAGGAGAGGCGCGCTACTCCCTGAGTGAGGACAAGCTCATCCGCCAGCAGATCGACTACAAAACCCTGGTAAGCCGGCCTCACGACGCTGTCCCATGCCCCTGAGCAGCGAGTGGAGATGCTGACAAGCTACCTGTCCTTACCTGCGCACGGGCCCAGCCAGGTGTTCCACCTGTGCCCGTCACCACTGGGGTCCCTCAGTTACCACCACACCAGGGCATCTGGGGCTAAGGCTGGTGTGGTTCCAGGCCAGGGCGCTGGGCATGGGGTCCCAAGCCTCGCCAACAGCTGGCCGGCTGATTCCATGGAATGAATGCCTCATCAGGGATCCCAGCGCAGACGGTGACGGCTCTATGCAGAGAGGGTGGAAGCCGAAGGAGAGGAAACCTCAAAGAGGTTATATTTCGGAAGCTCAGCTCTGCCTACCAGTCTAAGTTCAAATACGCCCATGACCCAAGCTACAGACCGCGAGGCCAGGATGGCCTAGTGGATAAGGCGCTTGTCCAGGGAACTAGGGATTCCCTCTGTCAAGGTTAGACCCCCTCTTCTGATAGCAGCTGTCACCCCAGGAGGCAGCCAAGCTCAGCATGGGGGAGCATGAGGCCTGGATTAGAGCCCTGACTCTGCTTCTGACCAGCTGGCTGATTTGGGGCAGATCCCTCAATCTCTCTGGGTTTGGGTTTCTTTATCTAAAACAAAAAGGGGGGGGTTAACACTAGAATTGATTTACCCAGGGATCGTAATTGTGCATAGCTCCCAAAACTCCAGAGGATGGGGTGTGAGGAGGGGTACAAGGCAGGGACCACGCTTCCCGCGATGCCTGTCCAGAGGAATGCCACCGTCCCTCTGGGCGGGACACTCACTCGACTCTGCGCTCTTGTGATGGAGGCACTCTCTCCCACCGAGCCTCCTCTGGGAAAGAGGAGGGGTGGGAAAGGAAGGAGCTAGAACATAAGATAGCAGATAAGTGGCGCCAAGACGGGTGGACAGACAAAAGGATTTAAATGGACTTATGGGGAGATGAGACCCATGCAGGCCGGGCCAGGACAGGGCAGAGCGGGACAGGAACAGTGAGCCCAGGGTGAATCCCAGACCCCACGGCCATGGGGAGACGGCCCCTCCTGGCTGGGAATGATGCAGCCGCAATGCACCTGTCCTTCTCCATCTTCAGAGGGCCGAGGGACAGGGGCCCAGCGGGCATCTTGATAGACCTGCTGGGATGGGCGCCACTGAGGAGACTTCAGAGGAGCAGCATGCAACCGAAGGCCTGGCTTCCTTGAGTCACATTCTGCTCCAGAGGAGAGACTTGGAGGCTCTGATTAAAATAAGAAAGGGGCGGGGGGCTTCCCAAAATAGAGACCCGCATAGATTTTTAATAAGCTAGATGTAGCATTGAAATGTCTCCTGCCTAATCTCCCCCGACCCCTTCCTTGCCCATCCCATCCATGGATCCTCAATACTGAATCCCGCACAATGAAGATGCTCTGTCCCCAGATCGCAGCATCCTTCCTACTGTTAGCACACCAGCCGGGTGTCAGGCAATGTGAGGAACTAGGAGTGGGTCAGGGGAGCACAGCCGTCAAGTGGAGAGACTGGGGGAAGAAGAGGCGCCATGTGGAAACTGGAAAGAAATTGCAATTGTTTTGCCCGGAGAAGCAAGGGCTGCGGGGAGACGGACCGCCACCTCAGGCCTACGAAAGGGAACTCCCAACAGACATAAGGGCAGCAGCCCCTGGCTGGCGAGAAGGGAAGGGAAGCAAGTGTACCAGACAGCAGCAGCCAGGGCTGTCCCGGGCCAGAGCTGCCGGGATGCAGGGGCCAGATAAAAAGAGGGGAAGTCGTGGGACTCAGCAGTGCTACAGGAGCCCTGGACAGTGCGGGCCAATGGATACTCTCCTTGTCCTGGGCGGAGGGGTACCGCAAAGGAGGACAGGTACTGAGGGCCTCAGGGGTGCATCGCTTTCTATTAGGTGCCCTCAAAAGTGTTGAGTGATTAATCAGCCGGATACCAGAACCTGGGCTTGCGGGTTCTAGGGCCCTGCTGGCCTCTCCAGGGAGCCTGCTAGTGCTGGGTGCTCGCCCAGGAGCCTGCTGGCTGCTAGGCGCTCCATGCTTACCCGCCACATTGCAGAATCTCAGGCCCCGCCTCAGACCTCCTGAGTCAGAATCTGCATTCTAACAAAACCCCTGAGGGATCCTAGTCACAGTAAAACTTGACAAGTACTGAGTTGGCAGGAAAAAACGAAACAAAACACATCAGGCAGTTTGCTCAGAACCTAGCCAAGGGGCATGGGAATAGGTGCTCCGGGTGGAGCTGTGGCTTGGCCAGGGGCCAGGCAACCCTGTCCCTCAGCACTTCCCCTTCTTCTCTGGAGGCCCTGAGGCATCCCATGGGGTTCTCCTAGGGTCACCGTGAACCCCTGGGGCAAGCAGAAATGTCTGCAGGCCATACTCTGGGTGGGGGAGGGGGGACAGCTTCTGCCTCGAGGTTCTAGGGGAGGAAGCCCAGAAAAGTCTGAGTTGATGCCTGGCAGAGGAGGCTGAGCCCAGAGCATGGGACAACAGGGATGGCCAGGGCAGCACAAGGTGACAGGCTGTGCTCGGCCACGGAGGGGGCAGCGAGGGTCCGGAATGCTTTAGAAGGAAGAGCTGGGAGAAGGCACTCAGAAGGGGCCCATGGCCCAGAATTTCTTCCACCATTGTTTTCATTTTAGGACACTTTGAGGGTGAGAGACCGGATTTATAGATTTGGGAGAGGGTTTTTTTCCTTCTTAATGGAGGAAGCATGTTCCCGTTTGAGCTCACAGCAGTCTGGCTGCTAATGAAAGGCAGGCGTCCAGGGGGTCTGATTGCAGCCACATGGAACAGGAGGGGGAGGGGAGGGGGAGCTGTCGTAAGAGGCTGCAGACATGCGAGATCTGAGATCCGAGGTGGCAAGGGCAGGGAAAGATTAGGGAGGAGGGCATGGGGGGCTCCGGCAGGCAGGGACAGAGGGAGGGTGTGGGAGCCCGGTGTGACAGCCGCCTAGCCCACCCGCGCCCCATGGCAGCCATCCCCCCAGCCCCCCCCCAGCATCCCACCCAGTCCCATCCATGTAGACAGAGTCTCGGTCCTCTCTGAGAACAGCAAGGGAAGCAAAGCCTTGGGAAAGAGCCCAGAACTTTTTAAAGGAAGAAAAAAAAAATACAGCTTGGTGCCTTAAGAAGAGCCTGAATTTTTTGGACTAGTTCCAGAAAGAGACACTGAGGCCCTGGGCCAGGGTGACCACTCTTCCTTAACACAAGGTTCTGGGTTCAGAGCCAGGAAAGGATCTCAAGTAGTTTGAACCTACACCTTTTTATTTTTAAAGAACCCATTAGGCTTCTTATAGATTCTCCAACCTCCAATCAGCCCAAAACAGTCACAAAAATCGAAGCTTATGAAACCTCTTGAGCAAGGAGCCAGATTCGTGTTAGTGTGTGTGTATGTGAGAGGGAGTGGCTGGGAGGAAGGACCCACACATGGGGAAGGGGAGGGTTCAGGAGTGGGCAGGGGTCTGGGTGTGCTGCTGACATGGTGCCGTGTACATGTGAGAGAGAGTGTGGGTATGGGTGCGTGTCCGGAGAGATTGTTGGTGTGTGCAGCGGGGGGTCCAGGATGCACCTGGGACTCGGCTCTTCCTGCCGCCCTCCCCGATGTGCCTCTGCTCCTTCTCCCCAGGTCCTGAGCTGTGTCAACCCAGACAATGCCAACAGCCCTGAGGTCCCAGTGAAGATCCTCAACTGTGATACCATTACTCAGGTCAAGGAGAAGATTCTGGATGCCATCTTCAAGAATGTGCCCTGCTCCCACCGGCCGAAGGCTGCAGACATGGACCTGGGTGAGTAGGCTGCCCACCCAGGGGCTGTCCTGGGACTGCTCAGAGGCGCCTCCTACAGACCAGGGGATCCAGGTGCAGGGAGCAGGCATGTCCAGACCTCAGGAGCCCATGGAGACTGCCCCCAGGGCTGCTCAGCGAGCAGCAGGCCCCACTGCCTCTGGGGTCTTTGGAGTCGCTGAGGGTGTCCTTTCTGCAGTGAAGGGGACCTGAGCTGAATCTGTGTGGTCCCCATTCCTGCCACCACCGTCATTAGCCCCCAGGGTCTTCCCTTGCCCTCTGTTCTGTGTGTGTCATTTTTGCTGACTACCTCAGGCAGGAGGGATTTGGGTCAGTGATGGAAGACGGAGAAAAAGAGGAGAGAAAAATGAGAGATGACAGCCTGCTGGGGAGCGGGATGACATTTTATTTGAATGTTCCATGAATAGATTGCATAGCCTATTAAACAAGGGCATGCCCCTTAGGGCCAATCTATGGCTTGCCTGGGTATTTAATGAGATATTGTCCTGGGGAGACCCTGGTGGGGAGCTCCAGGCTCCAAAGGGGCCATGGCTGAAGAGAGGCAGTTTGACCCTGTGACACATCGTCACACCTGGACTTGAGTCCTGACACTGCTAAGTCATAGCTGTGTGACCGTGGTCAAGTTACTTAACCTTTCTGTATCTTCATTTCTTTACGTATCAAATGGAGATAATCAGGGCACCTGTGCAGCTCAGTCGGTTAAGCATCCAACTTTGACTCAGGTCATGATCTTTCGGTTCGTGAGTTCAAGCCCCACATCGGGCTCTGCACTGACAGCTCAGAGCCTAGAGCCTGCTTCAAAATCTGTGGCTCCTTCTCTCTCTTCCCCTCCCCTACTCATGCTCTTTCTCTGTCTCTCAAAAGATAAATAAATGTTAAAAAAAAAAAAAACTTAAAAGAAAATGGAGATAATCATCATGCCCAACTCACCGTAAGAAAGAAATTCGATGATGCTTGTAAAAGCTCCTCAATGCAGGGCATGGCCCAGAGTACACACCCAGTTAGTATGGGCTGTTGTTATTACTGATCGGGAGAACAACACCAGTAAGGAACTGGTATGTGCCTGTTTGTTGATCCTGGGCACGGAGAGAAAGGCGTTTGTGTATGTGCTTGTGTCTGGAGATTTGTGGCAATGTGGGGTGGGAGGGCCTCCCGGGGCCCCTAATCCACCCATCTGGCCTCTAAGCTGCCTTCCGTTAAGCCATCCAACACAGATGGACATCTCCGCTGTTTTCTAAAATCCGAAGGAAATTTTCATCCCGTCTTGCTGCGCCATCCACGTCCCTCCAGAGTCTGATGCCTGAAGACTCAGGAGCAGGAAGTCCTACAAACTCACTCACCTCAACCCTTTCTGCTTCGTTTAACCCCCCTCCTCTTGCCCCAGGGGCTGCGACACCCAGGGAGAGAGAGATCGGGGAGCACAGAGTCCCCTTCACTTGAGAGGTGTCTCTGTGTGTGCTGCTTCTGGGGCAAGGGGGGAGCACAGGAGCGAGTCGGTGGTGGTGAGGGGTGCACCAGCGTGTTCACGCGTGTGTCCCGGGGTACCGGGCACCCCCGTCAGGGTGAACACTTGTGTCTGCGTGCCGGTGACTCTGCTGCCGTCAAGATCCCACAGACGGACGTAGTGAAGGGGCTGCTGACGGACCAGGGGGAGGGAGACCGACTCCGGGTTCCCCACCCCAAACAATTAAGTGGGTTGCTTCATAGTGGGTTTCCTGGGGAGACTGGCGTTCGCTAGCGGAGCCAGGTAGCACCCACCGTTCCTCTTGTTGATCGGCGGAAGCCATGTCCGTGTTCCTGGCTTCTCAGTGTCCCTATCTGCACAGTGGGCGGGAGCGTAACCCTGACATCGTGGGGCCCAGAGGAGGAGCTGTTAGAAGAGCCTTCATGCCGGAGGGTGAGGGTGGAAAGCTGGGGTCAGCGCACAGGGAGAGCTCCTGCGTGCAGGCGGTACACGACGACTGCTTCTCACGGTTGGGAAGGGGGTGACTCCCGGGAGGGAGAGCAGCAGGGGGCTTCGGGAGCCTCCACCTGAAGCACCGAGACCGAGCTTTTGCACCGGAAGACCTTCTCTTCCTTACCAGGAAAGGGCAGGTGGGTGGTGAGGAACACTACCTCCTGAGGCGGCTCAGACACTTCACAGCTCTCAGGAAGGGCAGGGCCTGCGTCCGGCAGTGTAGTGTCCACCCCAAGCTCAGGGGGCAGCCCTGGAAGCAGATTCAGGGGCCACGCCTTCGGCACCTGCTTGATTTCCTGGAGCGAGGCCACATCCCAGCTCAGGATCTCCCCCCCCCCCTGGAATCTGCGCGTGCGCACGCGCGCACACACACACACACACACACACACACACACACACCGATCTTGGGAGGGGAAGGAGCCGCTCCTTAGCTTTGGAAAAGTGCTCCTAAAAGGCCTGAAGACACAAAAGCCCGGCAAGAGCAGGGCATCAATGAAAAGATGTAAAGCATCCTGCAGCCAGAGCGGTGGGCCATTTGGAGCAGAAATGGCAGCCTCAAAGCACCTATGGCTACTTCCTTCCAACCCCCACCTCTCCCATAGCCACCTCCCCCCACCCCATCCCAGTGAAGAGGCCTGAGCCCTGCAGCAAAGCAGCAAGACTGACCCCAGGGTGCACATTCTGAGCTATAGGCTGCTTCCCGCAGCAGCCGGGGCTCCTGTGACTCACTGCCTACAAGGCAGCCTCAGGAGAACCAAGGGGCCACCCCTCCCATCGAGCTGCTGTTGGGAAGGACCCAGGAGCTACCCTGACCGCAGGGACAGATACGGGGGGAAGCCAAGGAAGTGGGGACCTCAGGCAGTTCGAGCCTCAGGGCCCCATCTTACTGGGGAAGGAGCTCAGGCTGCACACCTCATAAAGGCCCCCCCATGGTGGGTGCCCTTCTGAGGAATGCCCTTTGCTCTACGAGAGCCCGGGTTTGGAGCCGCCCCGGAAGCTCTGGCTTTCTTTCTACCACAGCCACATTGCATAACAAGGAAATGGAACCCTCCTCAGAGACCCAAATGCTTTTTCTACATGATTCAACTCAGCCTGTGGTCCCCAAGGGGAGAAAGAGGCCAAAGCGAGCTTCTCGCGTCATGTAGGTGATAGTGCTTTAAAAGCCTAAAAGCAATTTACAAACGCAAGGTGTGATTATTATCAAAAATTAATCAATGCTGAAGGGACACAGCACAGAGGAAAGGAGAGGACTCAGACCCGTGCTCCGGAGAGAGGCAAGAGAGCCAAGCATTCTCCTTTCCTCCCCACCCCCACCCCCATAGCTCAGGGCATTGGGCAAAGACTGCCTTCCCCCTCCCGATGCCAGTCAGCCCCTGGCAAAGCAGGGACACCTGTCCTAGAACAGCTCAAAGGGGACAAAGACATTTTAAGCTACCTCTGTCACTGTCCTAAGTAAATCCAGCCCCAAACACCTCCTTCTGACTTTCATCATCACCGTGGCCCCTGGCCCGGCCACTCCTTCCAGACACTTCTATCCATTGCTCCTCCCAGACACTTCTATCCATTGCTCCTCAGACTGAAGTTCTCTCACCTCCCCACCCCACCCCCATCCACCCTTTCGGCAGACCTTTCTAGGCATTAAGCAACCAAGATGGGGAATGTATTAGTCAGGGTTCTCCAGAGAAATAGAACCAATGGAATGTGCATATAGAGAGAGAGGTTTCTTTTAAGGAATGGCTCACGTGATTACGGGGTCTCAGCCCGTTGGCCTGCTATAACATGATACCACCGGCTGCATGGCTTATAAAGAACCGAGAGTTCTTTCTCACAGTTCCAGAGTCTGGGAAGTCTAAGATCAAAGGGCGGACAGGCCTGGTGTCTGGTGAAGATTGCTTCCTGGTTCATCGGTGATGCCTTCTTACTGTGTCCTCACATGGCAGAAGGAACAAGGGAGTTCTCTGGAGCCCCTTTTACAAGGGCACCGATTCCATTCAAGGGGTCCCCACCCTCATGACCTATCTGACAAAGAGCCCACCTTCAAACCCCATTGCACAGGGCGTGAGGATTTCAACATAGGAATTTTGGTGGGACACAGAACTTCAGCCTATGGCAAGGGGACCAGCAAGTCCAAAGTCTGCAAGGCTGGCTGGCAGGCTGGAGACCCGGCAAAGAGCCCCCATTGTAGTTCAAGTCTGAAGGCCTTCTGCTGAGTCAGTCTTGTCTTCAGGCCTTCAGCCCAGCGGATGAGGCCCACTTACATCATGGAGGGCAATTCGCTTTCCTCAAAGTCCACCGATTCAAGTGTTAATCTCATCAAAAAAAAAAAAAAAAACTCCACAGAAACATCCACAATAACGTCTGACCATATAACTGGATGCTTAGGCCAGGCTGACACGTAAAATTAACCATCATAGGAGCAAAAATGAAGGACACGAAGGTCCGCTTTCATTTCCAACTGTTGGAATCCAGGAAAGGAAGGAAGGAAAGATACCGCAGGTCAGGGGTCTGGGGCTGGGCTCCCAAAGCGCAGTGGCAACAGGACCCCACTCTGTTACATGCGAGGCTGTCCCCACCACGTTTATGCCCCTTTCCACCCACAGGTATTGGGCATAGGGAGCCCCCTGGGGCACTAAACTCTTTAACATGTGTATCATAAGAGCCTAACTTAGGGCAGGCTCTGCACCAGGCATGGGGGTACCAGTGTGAGCAAGACGAGTTTCTCATTTCTTCATGCAGAACACCCCTCCCTGAGCTGTGGGACTCTTGTTTCAGGAAAGTGGAAATCATGGAGCCATTCTGATCCACTGTATGGGAGAATCTACCGCTCAGAGAGGCACAGTGCCTGAGCCCTGGCCACACAGCAGGAAGGTGGAGAGAACACCCATTTCCCCCCTGTAAAGTCTCCCCATGAGCCTTGACCTCCAGAGATTCCTCTGGTTTAATGCAAATACTCTCTCAGTAGCACCACACACACACACACACACACACACACACACACCGCCTCAACCAGAACTCCGGAACTCTG